TAGGATATGTCGCGCGCGCGTCGCAAATTTACCCGATCTGGACTGGTTTTATATAATATCGTGCATTCTTTTTCGCGGCGAGCTACAGGTTGACAGACGTGACAATTAACTGTGTCGGCACGTGTATGTATCCGCCTTTAGATAAATGAGGATTGTGTACAAGGCAAGTAACACAATATCTACCTGTAGATAAAATCTAAGATGCACGATCGTGGCATGATTGATAGTATAATCTATGTAGAATTAATTATCTTTATGTTTTATTGTGAAACAAATTTTGTTATAAAGAGAGTATAGATTAAAAATGCAGATATTTCTTGGTAACAAAATTTAGCACAATAATTGTATAAAAAAATTTTATATATTTATATATAAGAATAAAGAGATTTTATATAAAGATAAAGATAATTTCTTTATAGTGAATATTTTTAGGTTTAAAATGAAGCAAATGTTTATAAGTACATTTTGTTTTTCTAAAAACTCAGTATTTTATAAATAAGATAATTTAACAACTTTTTTCTATTACTGCCTATCTCTTTCTCTCTTTTAGTAGTAATAAAAATTTATCAATTACTAAAAGAGAGAAAGAGAGATAGGCAGAAATAGGAAAAAGTTGTTAAATTATCTTATTTATAAAATACTGAGTTTTTAGAAAAACAAAAAGTACTTATAAACATTTGCTTCATTTTAAACCTAAAAATATATTCACTATAAAGAAATTATCTTTATATAAAATTTCTTTATTCTTATATATAAATATATAAAATTGTTTTATATATTATTATGCTAAATTTTATTACCAAGAAATAATATTTTTGAGGAGGGTGTTTGCGATTCTTAGTTTTTTTTATGATTCTACTTATATTATTATCCGAAATTATCCTCACCGAAGAAAGCGAACAATGCGGTCCGATTTTTCACCGACGGCAGACCATCGTCGCCCTGCATGAACAGATCGCTGAGCTTCCGAGGGGATGGCCTGTCCTGGCCAGCCATCGCGTATACACCATCAGAATATGCCGCCGGGACCTTTCGGATTAGCCTACTGTCTATGGAGGTACATGCAACTAGTATTAGGATAACTTTCCATGGACAATCACCTTCGCTGTGTCATGTACAAATATAATCGCGGGGTCATCACTTTCCTGTCTCATTAACTCTTCTATAAGAAATATTTTTCGCGTCATTCCCATGATTGATTAGTTCTGACGTCATCTCTTGAATTTTATCTTATAAAATTGATAAAACGTCTTTAATTATACAAACATATAATTTTCGTGTATTTAATTTCACAAGCAATCATTATAACAGTAATTTTATCGAAATCTATTTAAGAGAAGTTTATTTGCTTCTCGTTGAGGATTATTGAGTCATAAAATAGCTATTATAAATGCGAGATTAAGTTTTAGTTAACTGTTGTCAATATAAAAAAATTTAGAAAAAATAATTTTTAAGGATGCTTCAAAACGCTGTTATTAGTAAATTTATTCAGTGAAAAGGAGAACGCGTGGATTTTTATAAAGTGACAACCTTGACGTGCGTAATAAAAAGAAAAACAGCGAAGGTATACTTGGATTTTAGCATACAAATTCGAGTACTTGCCGATTGCACCCCAATCAGGATGGGCCAGATTGTTATAAAATCCATCGTATCTCTGTTTATTGACCGCATAACTGTGCCCTGCTTCTAAAAATTGCCGATATATTCACATTACGTTTAGATCGTGAGAATCAACAATCCGATGAGTAACGAGTTCATATGTAAAATATGATTTCTCTATTTCTGAATTAATTATTAGAGGAGCGTAACGCCTCTCTGTTTTGAAAATATAATTAGGATATTCGGGGCGAAATAAATGTGCAAATTATCGAAAGTGGGTCAAAAGTATACAACGAGTATTTAACGAGAGCTCTAGACCTACCGTAAAATTTCCACCTCTCTCGTTCCAATTTAGTCAATCCTTTGTAAGTGTTTTTTATCGGTAAATTAATTGAGCACACTTGAATTTATTTTAACAAATTGTTCTAATAATTTGTACACAATCTGTTTTATAATAACAAAAAAAAAAAAACATATTGAAAATAGTTATCAAAATCGTTGTACTGAATTATTTTTTGCGTTATTAATATCAGAAGTACGATACGACACACATTATTGGAGTAAATAATATTCGAACTAGGAGTCTCGTATGTCGACCGTTGGCGACGGCTCCCTTTTCTGAGCGTCAAGACTACAATTACAGGTGCCGGAACGATGACGATTGTATCTTACCGGTTTCAGCAGGTAATACGACCCAGAGTGCCCAAGCGATCGCGCAGAGCGGCGCGATGCTGCGGGCCGGCGGCGGTCGTCGTCGTGTCATCATGTGTCACTCGTTCTCGCCTGATCCACGCCCGTGCATTTCTCTTATGCCGAACAAGCGTCTTCTTTTTTTTTTTCCAGGCCCTTGAACGATCTTTCTTACTCTCTTATCAACGGTGTCCTCGGGGAGGAGGCATGCCGTTGGTACCGTCTATCAGCGGGTGATACGAGAAGGTGCCAACCGCGCGGCACATACGAATCTTTGGATTCACCGGAGTTCAAAGACGCGAACCGGTCCCAGAGGCTGGAAGGCGGCTAGCAGGGCGGTGGATTGTTCGCTACCACCTGGCAGTCCCGCCGAAGAGGAGAAAAAGAGAAAGAGCACACCGCGAGATACGAGGTGCAAAAAAAAGTGCCACCGTATGATTTTTCGAGTATGATGAGCTCGGATGTGGTGAACCGATAAAAAGCGTGGACGCGCGGAATAAGAAGTGAAAAATGAAGGCGGTGACCGGCGCACTATACCCGCGCCTCCGGAGCACCACCACGTGTCTGCGGTCTCGAGAAATGAAATCACCATCCGCTATCCCGCGGCACGGGCCCGTCGAGGGAAACGGGACAGACGGCGCGCGCGGAGCAACGACGATGCACACACGGCGAGTCCCAAGAACGGCTGTGGCTGCCTCTCGGACTGTGCGCTGGTCTGCGCCTCCGCCACCATCACGCAGTCGCTCTTGGTCGCGCGGTGAAAGTCGCCGGCCTATTTGTTTCGTTACCGCGAACGCGCCTCCTTCTCCTCTCCATATCAGTCCCTCTCGCCGCCTCCTCCGCGGGCTACGGCGGCGTCGTCGGCCTCAGTGTTCTTCAACCATTTTTCGTACGGCGCTTTTATTGCCAGATCTTTACCAAAATCTGGATTAACTTTAACACACTCTTGATATTTTTTTTCTAATATTCAGAGAACTATAGATATCTGTATAAAAAGTCAAGTTAATCCGAAATTGAAATTAATCTATATTGATGGAAATGGACGTTGAGAAAAGGGTTTTACATTCATACATTCAACGCGTTCTTATCTTATCAACAATTTTAATCGACTCCATTATGCAGTACGTTTTATGCTCATTTCTATCAATATAGATTGACTTTGTAATTAATCTTGGTTTAACGGGTTTAATTTACTCTCTTTATCTTTGTCGAATTCTTAGAACTGGAAGAAGGTGAGTTCAACAAAGATTTTAAAGCTAATTTACATTTTTACAAATGGACGTTGATGACAATTGGAATCTCCAACTCGTTTATCTGGAGGAGCTCCAAGCAGCTCCAAGCCGTTCCTATTAAATTGTTAGAGCCAACCAGAGCCAACCGAGGCTCGAGGGACTCATCATCTTTATGGAAGCGTATACTATTTGAAATAACGTTCGCGGGAACGGCATTCAAGGAGCGTACTCGCGGTGCACTTATTGCGGTCCCACGGCTGTATACTGGTTGAAAAACCACTGTACACGAAGGCGCGATGCCGCGCGGCGACGTCACCGCGGGCGCAGGCCTAGTTTTCGAGTCCGCGGCACCGATTACCCAAGGCGAAACCTCTCTCGAGTCCCTGCCGGTCGTTTCAAGGTCGAGCAACGTCGGATGGACGGTGCTGATGCGCACGCGTTAGAGACGACACACTGAGGACACGGTACGTTCGCGTAATCAAGTCGCGACATTCCCCAGTGACTTTTTTTTTTCTCTCCTCTTCGGCAGCCGCACTATCGTAGTGAAAATCCGTGTCAACGATGCCAGTCGACAAACGACGGCTAGAAAGAGTAGGATAATACGCTGATACGTCACGTACAGACATCAATACAAACACAGAACCGATTCACAAGTTGGCTTCGTGTTCGTGTTGATGTTGGTACGTCGAACGTTGCATTTAACGATCAAGTAACGTTACATTATTCAATCGATATTTGCATTTAATGATTAAGTAACGTTATAATGCAAACAACACAGATATTGTATTTGATGGTTTATTTAACACTAAATACGTATTCAAACAACGCAAGTGTGAATGAGATGTAAAAAGTGTGTTTTAAAAAGATTAGCGAGTGTTTTTAAAGCGTCTTTGTGACTTCCATATTACATAAAACACGTAATGATAATTATCTCGAACAATACGTTTGTATTGTACGGGTTAATTACTGTTACGTATTTTAGTTGTAATTAATAGTACATCTGTCGCGCTCTTGTTTCAAAACCGTAGACCTCTGTTTCAGATCCCAGATTCTCGCAATGTGATTTATACGCAGCTTAATTAGGGATTTATTTTAATTAGGCTACTCATCGGGATTCGGTAAGATTCTACGATGGGTGCTGTTGGCAAGTCGAATACAGAAGGTGCGTCCGTCGGTGGCGTACTCGCGTTATGACTCAACCCGGAGAGAAATCGCGTCTACTGTTCTCGACTGCTGGTCGATCTTTTATCGCCCTTGGCACAAATCGGCACTTGGAAAAGGAGATCACACGCTTATTACGTTCAGTGCGTTTACGCAGCCGCTTCTTTATTTCGGAAGCGCGAGGTCTTTCACCTTTCTCTATCGCGAGTCGAAGGTGACTCCTCGATGCGTCCGAAGAGGATCAACTATCACCCGCATAAATCAAAATGCGTTTCTACAAGGATTCCTCAGTCTGTTCAACCCTAAAAAAAATATATACACTTGTAAAAGAACTTGTTTATTCGTATATCATCGTTTGCATACAGAATCATCGAACAAAAACTTCGATTTCGTGGTAGGAACGAGATCATCGCAAATCGTTCGCGATCGTCGTGAAATAAAAAAAAAAAACAGGATTACGTATAACTCATCGACGTCGTACTTTCGTTCGTATATTTATTGTCGCGTCGAAAGGCATATTAGCGCGCTCGTTAGAAAATATTTCGTTCCGGTACTTAAAGTACACCCGTGCTTTCGTGCAGATCCAGAGTACGTGCACTCTGGGAAAACGGACGGAGAGACCGCAGATGTTGAGTGGCGGTCACTTGGAGTTCGAGTTCGAGGGGTAGTAGTAAACCACCGCCGGTGCTGGCAGTTGCCAATGAGCGGCGTGGAGCTCAATCAGTTGCAGGAGAGTCCTCTTCACTGGTGGCAACGTCGTTTCATCTGCTAGAAAGGCGTCGCGCACGCTACCGAGCAGTTGCTGTAACTGCGCGGGCAGCTCCACGTCCAAGTCCTTGCCGATGCACGTGAGGATGAAGAACAGGCAGTTAGTCTATGATGTAGACGAAGAGAGAGATCAATCCTCTATTGAATTTCAACGACTTCAATTCGGTCGATGTATCGGTTTGTAGTAAGTCGGAAAGTCCAGCGCGAGAATGATGTAAGTTTATTAGGCCGTGCGAAATCTATCTTGGGACGCGATTCAGATTCCCGAGTATTTCCTAGACTTTATCTTTGTTTACATATTAGATAAACTTGAATGACACTTGGATAGAAATTTGAACATAAGCCTCGGATGCAATTTTATATTTGCATTTATCTTATAAGAATGAAGTCAATAAATTTTGTTTTGTTGCAGACTAATGGTTTAATTGGTTTTATTACACTCGTCAATTGATCTCAGTTTTACCTCGGCAAGTGAATTGATGGCGGGTGGTTGCAAACAATCCTGGCAACATTTCCAAAGCAGCGTGAGCAGCACGCGTCCGGGTGGAACGCCCTCCTGCTGTGTCTTCAATTGTAGCTGCCGTCGTTTCAACTGGAACAACGCGATTATGCTCGTTTATGCGGGCTCGAAAGCTTAGTACCGTCATAACATGCAGCAGACGATAAAAAAACAACGAGTATATAAATAATTTAAATGAATGCTAAATTATACGTTAGATCCAAAACTGACCCGTTTCTTTTCATTACACGGAGGTATCATTGCAGTCGTAACTAGTCACGCGTTTTTTACAGACATAATGGATACTTCATGATCAACGTGTGTCATTATGTGCTTAGTTATACCTGGCAATACATCTCGTTGAGAAAGATCATAAAGGCTGAGTACCGATGGCAGGTTGTGCCGTCATGCAGTAATCTAGCGCGATCCTGGTACCATTGTTGACACATATTTAGCAAGGATTCCAGGAAAGTTTCCTTTGTTTCTTTCTGTACGTGAAACGTATCTCAAGTTATATATTTCACCTTGCATGCGTCACACTAAGATCATCGTCTAAATTAAAATATTACTGTTTATGACTTTTATGTAATTCTCTTAAATATACATAAAACAAAATGAAACGTAAACAACAGCAGTATTTCATAGAAGAGCAAACGACTATATTTTTTTTTTATATAACTTATTTAATTTTCTTGAAAATATAAAAAATAAAGTTCCAATTTTTAGATATTTGTTTCTTAGAATATCTCGTTTTTTCTTTTACATTTGGTAAAAAGATAAACAGCGAGTGTCCATCGTCGATCTTTTTGATCAATTTAACGAAAGGATAATGAAAAAAAAACCTCTATAATCGTGATGCAAATTTTAGCTGCCGGCTCGGCGTACTTGCGATTCTCCACTACCCTATCCAAAATGTGCCGTACTAGTTCCATCAGTGTTCTCGCATTTAAAGAATTCGGATCTGTCAACAACATACATTAGCGTCAAATTATTTTCAATAACTAAATTTTTAGTGTTTGCTAAATTTTTAATTGTTATCATTTTTCAATTACTTTATCATCAAAGAAATCATGTAGTTGGAAATACTCTATGTTTCGTCAATTTTTGTTGAATAATTTTGTTCCAATGATGCATCACACCATAAAGTATGTAATGTACAATTCGATTGAAATAGCGTGATGATTTAAATCTTTAAGCTTAATGTGTTCTAGTGACTGATAATAGACAGACTCTCTTACCTTCTATCGCTCGCAAAAGTATATCTTGAACGGGCGAAGGAAATTTCCCGAGTTCCGAGGCGTCCGCGATATTGAGTGCTTTGGCGACTAATACATCCGTCGAGTTTATGCTCTTGGAGCGTTTCAGACCATAAGTCGACACGAAGGTGTGCGATTTAGTAAGCTTGCCCGGTTTCATAGAATTAGTTTTGACTTCGTTTTGTTCCACATTGAAATGTACCCGATTCGTGGTCTAATGGGCAAAATAATTTTTATCTCTAAATGGGCAATATAATTTTTATATAAACCCAAGAGCTTCTCTCTTAAGTTAATGCTCTTAAGTTAATAAGTTATAACGACCATTCTGCATGCAATCTTGAATTAAACCGGATGACTACTTTTGCATTCAATTTTTTCTCAAATCTCTCTTTTTAATTTTGCGCACAGGTCGTGTTTGTTCTGGATGTCTTCCAGCAAGAGACATACATGATGACGTGGTGTAATACAAGGAATTATTATATCTTCGTTGTTCGTCAATTTTAAACAAAGATGCTATGATCGTCGTGTCATACACTGTGTCGTTTACCGAAAAGCACCATTTGTGTATTACTTACGTGCAAGATATTCCCGCTGGATGCAGACGTGTCTAAAGGATGAAACTGTGATCGAAATGTGGAATTTGCTGTCACGTGATGGCTACTCTGAGAATGACGGGACGGTAGCTGGTGCTGTTGTTGCAGGGGATGTTGTACCTGTTGCTGCTGAGCGTAGAGATACCGATGTACATTACCGCTCGATTTACTGTGTTGCAGATAATACGAGGAGCGTTCCGATGCATTATTCCGAGATCTAGTCGAGATACATGTCCGTTTGGATTATTTACAGATCGGTCCAAATTCAGAATCGTGTCTCACAGAATTTAGTTGGATGCATTATTGCATGTTAAAGCCATTATACACTAATTTAATCTGTGTATAAGTAAAATGCAAATATTTCAAACAATAAAATACAAATTTTATTTAACAGCATATAATCAAATATATTGAGAATTTCATGATTTAATCTGTTTTTATATATTTATATTTATTAAACACACATATTTTTTGTCAATTTGTACACGACGGCTTTAATGTGCACCAATGTGAATTGAGTGCATCCATTCAAATTCCCTATAAGATCAAGAAGACTCTAGGCACACATTCGTGCTTTTTTGACCAATTCTTCTTTATTAAAAAAACACTCAACATATAGTTATATTATTACTGTTATCTTAAATAATTTAGTAATAAAATTGAACTTAAAAAAGTAACTTCTAATTTAATATCTTCTCATGAAAATTAATCACAGAAATCAATCATTAAATAAATCATTTTGACGTTGCATCATTGAATAGAAAAAAAAAACCAAATTATTTCGTTATTTTTATTATAATTAATGTTAGAATTTCTGAACAGTTTTTAGAAACAGCGTCGTGACTCAACTCTACCGATGTTCACACGGCGACACTATTTAAATATAGTCCGCTGGTTCATACTCACTTAGAAGGATACGAATCGTTCTGCTTCATCGTGAATTCCTTGGCGTGCACGTTTAGTCGAAGATTAGTGACGTTCGCCGTGGTTCCTTCCGCTCTCCCACCTAGAGGTGACCATGAAACTAAGACGACGATTCGTCGAATGATAAGATTTACGATATATGTGTTCATCACTGAATAGCGAGAGAATACAAACCTGGGGGTCGGTATATTTCTAAGGACGGTTTGGACTTGGGAGTCGCTACGTTACTGCTTCCTTTCTGCGGAACTGCATCCCTCATCTAAAAGTACACATCACGTATAAGAAACACAAGAACCTAATGGGCCCGTCTTCGAAACATCTTCCAGTGTATCCCGAGTTCGTGGAAATCTTTTTCTTTTCTTATTGAATTTGTATTATTATTATATATATTGTAGCGAGGCTATAAATAATTGAGAGTAAAATTGCGCTGTCTATATTAAAAGCTGTCAAGTTAAACTTTTCGATTTAATTGCCTTATGCATACAAATGAAAAACGTAGAAAGATAATTTATTATCCGAAGAAAATGGAAATGTTCAATTTAACTTTTTAATGTTATCGTAATATAATGTTTATTTCATTAATATTTATTTTATAATATTTCAAACGTGTAATAATTTTGTTTAACTCTTATTGCCTTTAATGTTACATAATTGTTATTTTTAATATGGACAGTCCTTTATTTTCTTATTTATTTTCATTATAATACAATTTTTTGCAATATAACGAAAATTTTAATCATAAAAAAATAATTTCTGAAAAAAAAAAACTTCCTCTCGGAAGCACAAAAAATCTTCAAAATAATATTATATATATAATGCTTAAATATTTCTGTAAAAACGTAAAGATCAATTTCATTCAAGCGGAATAATCTTAAATGCCAAGTTCAAGGACCTCTTTCTTTTTCTCTTGTACAGTAAGCAAAAAATTATTTCTAAATATTCTGCTCAATATGCTGAAAAATATCTTTGACATATCTGCGAATCTAATTCCAAAATCCAAAGAGAGTTTTAAAATAATCCTTCTAATATACGAACAAAATCTTGGCATTCGTTTCTCGCGTTGTATATGTATATACCGCATAACCACGTGCATTTTATTCACTACAGTGTATAAGAAGATGTTTCTTAAGTACTGACCAATATTCGGAATTGATTTTAAACGTTATTTAAAAAAAAAAAAAGAAAAGGTTTGTATTAATATATGTATGGTCCCAATAGTTTAAAAAATATAAGATTAAAAATTCTATAAAATTAGCATTTTTTAATTAATATTTTTATTTTAGTACTTAAACAAATAGAAATTTTTTCTTCAAATTTGAGCTAGTTAATGGATAAGATATTTATCTTCATTTTTTACTTATAGTCACTGTTTAGTAAAAAATCAACGACATAGAAAGGTACACATTAAGTTACGTAATAATATTACTGATATTATTGCCCAAACTTTTATTTTCAATAGTTGGAATTAAATTATTTGTAGATGTTTATTATTTCAATACGGTATATTTCTCACTGAAGATTCCGTAAAAAAATTAATCTTTTAAATCTTTCTTAAAAACTATTAAGCCATTTGAACGATAACTTTACAGAATTTTTAACTTACTGCGTATCTTTGAAACGAGATCTATGAGACCATATGTTCATATATTTTTCTTTATAAAATAACTTCAAAAATCAATTTCTCAAATTATTAAACAATACTTAAGAAACACCCTATATATACACCCTGTATATAACAGAATGTATAATAAAGAGCGTACATATACGTTTCTTTCGTTGTAATGTACGTTACAATAAATGCAACGAGCATATTGGCTAAATGCACAGGCTCGTTACGGTAACACATCACGAGGCATGCGGGATGTTAAATGTGTGTGTACGTTACTTGCCGTGGACTCAATTAAACGCGTGGGTATAACTTATGCGCCAATTTATTGTCACGGACAGTACATATTATGAATACTAATTGTAAATTAACCTACGCGATTAAAAAATAATAGATTGCGTAAATCAATCTATCTGACTGTCCCTACAAGACGGTAAATATCAAACGAGAAATATTCCAACAAAAAGAGACTTTTTGCACGTTTCATCTATTCTCTTTTATAAAACTGCAAATTTATAGTTTCACAAAAGAGAGAAATATAATAAATCAAGATAAAAAAACAGACAAAAATGAAAAGATTTGATGATTACAGTGCAAAAAAACGAGAGTCTCTCGGAAATTAAACATTTATAAAATTTTTATCAGTTCTTTAAGTCGTTTTCTTTTGCAAGAGAACGCTAAAATACATGCGAAATTGGAAGTACAACGCCATTGTGTTTGTAGCGCTTGCAAGAAATACAATGTTATCACGCGATTTTTTAGTTTGCATATGAAAAGAATAATGAATTAACAACATTAGTCTAATTGAACATAATCTGACTAATTGAATAACAGTATAATATTAATGAAACAAATAGGATTTTATTAAAATTAGAACACATCATATTTATTTCATTAATACTAAATTATTGAATTAATAAGATTATTTTCAGTAAACAGAATGTTTGTTGCTAACTAATTGCCAACATTTACGCTATCAAGAAAAAAAATTAAAGAAATACGTACTGTGTTTGGAAAGAGAAAATCCCAGGTTTTTCAGATTTTTCCACGTAATAAACATTCCATTCAATTAATAAACTGCTATAATCAGCTAACGCTGATTATACATCAGTCTGTTTCCTGCACGTCGTCTTCCTATTCGCAAGCGTCAGTTCCGGATACATCTCGCGAGTCTGCCAAGACGCGTCCGCGCAGCCCGCGTATCATACTCATCAAGTCATTTTTCCTGCACGTCGTCTTCCTATTCGCAAGCGTCAGTTCCGGATACATCTCGCGAGTCTGCCAAAACGCGTCGCGCAGCCCGCGTATCATACTCATCAAGTCAATCACGATCGAACAATTGCAAACGGACATCAGCAAAACAATAAATAAAACACCTCGTGCACTCTTAATAATCGCACGATGCCGTAACGTCCGTAACAATACCCGCTCCTATTTTCGTTCCGTGAGTTGCGTGCCGCGCTTCGACAGTCGGAAATATCGAGAAAAGTCACAGATATAGCGCGGAATGACTCAACTGTGCGGAACCATAACTCTCTCGACAGATCGAAAACAGATGCTGCGGACACCGACATCATTTCGATGATTTTAGATCTCACCGCTACGCACAATGACGTGTACATACATCATGTATCACGAAACAAAGAAATCGAGCGATCTCGACGGGAGCCGTTCTGTAGTGAGTCAAAGCTGATCGCCGTCTAACCGTGTCTAACGACTCCTCCTCCTTCTAGAGTAGAGTGAATCCAAAGAGAGAGAGAGAGAGAGAGATAAACGGACAATCAATTAAACCTCGCTTCAACTTTAATGTAGTAGTTACATTAATTTGTTACGTCTAATGTCCATTTCTCTCGATGTAGATTAAAACTTTACTCTTCACTTTACCTTTTATCCTTTTCTAGTGCCTGTGTTTCTACAAATATAATTTAATTTTAATCTTCGTTCAATCAACTCTTCATCTTTTTCTAGTTTCCAAGCATTAAAAATAGAGTAAAAGACGAAGAGTAAGTTGGGCCGAGATTAAAATTAATCTACATTAGTAGAAACGAAAGACAATGTTAGTATATACCTTTCTACATGGTTTTTCGTTAATAAGTACGTTGGTAGAAAAAATCCAGAACTCGATCGAGAAATAATGGGATGCTTGGTGGACACAAGTCAACACAAGCATCGCTCTATTTTTATTGATATATATATATTCAAGTAAACACTTAACGAAACTAGAAAACGACATACTACGATACCTCTATAGTCACCGGATGAAAAGCATCTATTGTTTTCACCGAAACAGAAAAATCGCGCAAGGAAGAATGAATTTGCGGTGAGACAAGAGAGGGAGATAGAAAAAAAGATACGATCACTCACAGTGAAGAGCGTGCGAGGATCATCCTTCCCAAGGTCCAACGAGCGGATGCTATCGAGATCCTTCTTCTTGCACACGGGTCACTGTAATTGACCGTAATGCGGCAGTCACACCGGAAGACCGGAACCTCGGCGCGCTGGCGCGACGCGACACGCGTGCGTTTTCGCACGCACGTGCACGCACGGAGGCGAATTTCCGGCCGCGCTCCGAGAGACGCACTTTCCCCGACGAGCGAGACGCGACTTTTCCGCGTCGGATACGTGCGTATACGTGCGTCGTCGTCGTGTCTTCGCTCGCGCACGCAGGGACTCCTCTCCGATGACCGAGGACTAATAATAGCCACGGCGTAGCCACGAGCGAACGCGAGCGAACGCTATATATCTACGTGCGACGCTGCGTGTATACGTATTATAAAGTATGTACGTCGCTAGTCGGCGCGAGAAGAGCAGACTGAAATATCCAACGGGAGACGGACGCTCGCGTCGCGGCGTCGCTCGCCGCGCGACAGGAACGCGCGTTGCGACGCTCTCTCGAGTTGAGATCTCGGATATCATGTTTTAATCGTATTAATCGGTTGTTAGTTCAAAATTGTCTTTAAGTAAGATTTCTAAGATACTGATTTGTGGCCTGATCTATATTCATTAATTCCATTAATTCTTACTTTGAGACAATTTTGAATGTAACGTCTTAAGATGCTAATATAGCTATATACAGTCCCCTTATGACATTTCAAGATACTTAAGATAGTCTCAAATATTAGAATTGACTATGAATACCGGCTCGTGCTTGATTTATAACATCTGAAGACTGTTTTAAATATAAGATCCGACTATGAATGCTTTTTTTTCCATTTAATGACACAAGCACCATTCTATATCTTTTTTGTCATTTAGAGAATAAGAAAAATAGAATGAGACTTGTGTTGACTTGTGACACCAAATGAAAATAAATATATATAAAAAAAATGTCAAATATATCAAGCTTGAGAAATTAAGGAAAAAATATATTTTAATTATTTTCTCTCTTATATTTTTTGCACATCAATCACTTTTACACAACGTGAAGTATTAATTTTATTAAATTTCGTACTTCAGTAAAATGATAACGAATTAATAAAGGCATTAATAAATTACAAAAGTCTCATCTTCAGAAATAAAGATAATTAAAAATGTAATGCTCTGCCTTGCAAATTTTTACCATATGATGTTACAATAATTTGTCGCTTCCGCATGCTTTTTACCGTCATTGCGGACAGCGGACTACGGTTCCTCTGAATGGATCCATTGTCTTCGCATGTCCGGCATCGAAGTTTGACTTTTCGTTTCGCATTCGATCAGGAATAACGATTATGCAAAAAATTACGACGAATTCGAAGAAATCCCTAATCTCGCTGTTAACACACCGATATTAACAAAGAAAAGTGCACCAACAGGTTTGAGAATTAAAAGTATGCAAAGCTGAGAGCCTACTCACTATAAAATTAACATGATAATAGCTGAAGGCCTCACCTTCGTCAGCGCTCCATCCGCGCGAGTTGCTCGTACCATATTCTCGCTGTTTATTTATTACCAAATATTCAATGAGGATCGACGTCAGTGTCAGTGGATTATCTCCACGGTATATTTTTTTTACAATTCACGAAACTCGATAAACAATCTCGATCGCCAGTTTCTCCTTTTTAATCGTCTTCCGACAAAAAAATTCTTGATCTATGGTGAATCTCTGCGATGCCCGATTTCACCAATATAAAATTAACTTAAATCTCGATTCAATTAACTCTTCATCTTCTCTTAGTTTTAAGAGAATAAACAAAAGAATTAATAAAAGATGAAAAATAAGTTGAAAAAGTTGATCTTACATTGGTGAAACCGCGGGCTCGAGCCTTATCGCGCCTATTTCAAAATGATGGATCCATTGACATATTTTATCGAATTTTTCGTAGCACTTTTATTGGCACTCATTAAACATATTTAAAACGACCATAAAATGCCTGAATGCCTATCGTAAAACGTTCACGGTCACGTCACTCCCGGCGCGATTCGATTTCCAAGACGCGTCGCGATCGACGGCGCTCGTCGTCTACGCCTCGCTCGATCCGGCCGATCGATCATCCGGCCGAATGCAGTCGTATCGCGTCACTCGTCGAAGCTATAGATATACCATTTCTCAATTATTGCCGCGATGATTCACCTCGGGCTGGATAATCGACGCTCTCGACGCCTTTTCAAAGTTCCTCCCGCGCGTCGAAATCACTGAGAATTGTTATTCCGGAAGGAGGACCGGGCGCGAGAGCTACAACGCGGTGCCGATGCTGTCACGCCGATGACTGGAAATACATGGCGTGCACACACCTAACATTACTTAATACGCGATTTGCGTAGTAGGTGACCACGCACCGCCTCCGTACACCTGCCAACGCGGATCACCGACGGAAAGAGAAAAAAGGGAAAAAAAAAAAAAAGAGTTATACCGCGCCTGAATCGGAACAGCGCGACCGAAGGAACGCGGGAGAAACTCGAAATTTTATCCGTGTATGTAAATTCATCGCATAAACCTCACACACTTATTTCAATTTAAATTGTAATTAATTTTGAAGAAATTGTACCGTGCTGACTTCTTACAGCTCCTTTTGTATAATATAATCGTTTAGTTTGTTTATTTTTTAAAGAATACAAGGTTCCGATCGTTATATTTTTATTGTATCTTTTCATATTTATCTCGATTTATATTTATACACAATTAATTTATATACATATTTTTTTTTACTTTACGACAAGCTTATATGTGGATAAACGAGATATGTGGTAATAATAACGTATCTGAATATATAACATTAATTTATATTAATTAATATTAATTAATATGTACATACACAAAACAAAGATACTTTTAATTTGTAGTTTTATATAACAATGTTATAATTTATAATAACAAAAATATTCAGGAGATAATTAATAGATTGGGTCTAACAAATATCTTTTCTTCTCCCTCTTTTTTTTTAAATTTGTTTCTGTATACTGAAAATCTATAAATTGCATTATGTGTCAATGATAAATGTAACAATGATCTGTGAATTAAAAATTCGGGAATTGTAAGTTGCAAAAGATTGCCTTTATAATCTTTAGAGAATAGTCATCTGAAGTGAGTTTTATATTCTAGCAGCGAGAAAATAAAATTCAGTTACAACAGTCTTCTTTATAGATCAATACTCTATACTTATCTTAATTTCTTATTAAAAAACGCCGAGTATAAATTTATACATACATACAATAATCTTAAATATTTATTAATAAATTGTAGAACGATCAATATGTAATTAATGAGTAATTTTTAATTGGAATTAAAAATCCTACCTGATTGTTTATGCAAAAACAATTAGGTGGTGACTTCCTGGATTGCATAGTTACACTCGTCATTGTGTTAAATCAAAGTAACGTGACAGTTTTATACCCAATTTATTGTACATAACATTGAAATAAGTAAAATGATACACATGACAAAGATATGTCACACACCCACACGTCGCAGACACGTTCATTTACGCTCGCATATACACACCCTCGGAAATCGTTGCATATTTGTTTATGGATACGATTTATAGAGGCTTACAAATCATAAAGCAGTGATAAAGGTAACCCTAATCTTAAATGGAAGCATAAATCATTTATCACTTTTCCGTCTAATGGCTAGACTTCGTTACATATCGTTCGATGATATTTTCCATTCCTTAAATGTCTAATGCATTCGAGTTACAAATAAATATGCAAGTTTTCTTTATACGCTAGAAAATTATAAATTAATTCGCCAATTTGTTAATTTTTGTCTTATCAAAATAGAACTAGAATCGAATCGACAAATCGATTCACTTAATGGTAGAAATGTCGGTTCTCGTATACTATTCGAATATCTTTTTGTTCGCGCGCGTGCAAACATTCGACAATGATATTCGAAAGTGCACAGATTCCTGGCACCCTTGTGTGAGAACCGACGGTAAGACGGAAGTTATATTTATTGCGAAAAAATCTTATAACTACAATATAATTTGATTAAGATTGAACTTAGCTAACACATTAGAAATGAGCACGAGACCGTCGCATGACGCGGTACATATAAAACATTTGTCTAATAATTTGAATAATCATTAAAACAATAATCATAAAAACGGCTAATTCCTCCTAAAAATCAAAATCAAAATAAACCGCATCAGCATCAATGTTTCTTTGAGAGTGCGCCAATTTAATTAGGAGAATCAATCAACTAAAGTTCTCTCGTGCTCGCGAGACGCACTCTCAGTCTCTCTCTCGCTTGCAAAAATGCCCTGACTTCATAAACAAGACTCGTTACACGGAATCCCGCGGAAGTTACAAACAACGCGTGCGTTGTGTGAGGCAGTGATGTCAAGTAGCGTTTCCGCATAATTCTGGCATGCTTTAATTTAAAGCAAATCTTAGGTAACAATTATATAGTTTATACAGCAGTTTTGGTATCTATCAAAATCTGACAGTGGGTAATTCAGGACACATAATTGGTATCTCTCTTATAAATTTTAGTATGTCGTCGAGTAATATATATCTTCGAACAGCGTCTTGACAACTCTGTAGGCACATTCCTGCTTTAAAGTCGAAAATACATGTGTTCAGATACGTACCGAAAAACCGATCAGAAATTCTCATTGTCTCTGAATACACATTTCTCTTAAATGCAGCTGTGAGTATATAACGTGATTTTATAAGGTATATATGTACTTATTTATGTACTACGCGACGTAGTCGAAATGCAACTTGCCTGCAAGAGAACGTTTCTACGTACGGACAAAAAATATCTGACAGAGAGAGTGTCGAGCAATATTACATTTCGACTATCCAGTTATCTGTTATAAATAATTGAAAGATATCTGCCTGCTAGCATGGCCTACTGAACACTTGGGTAGTTTGGAGCTTTTGTGAGTGATTTCAATCACTCTTGCTTATGTCTATTTTTTTCCTACTGCGTTCTGTAAGTAAAATCAATATTATCTATATGTATTTACACAAATGATACAATCATGCATGTTACGTAAGGAACAAGTATAGAATACTTATTCGGATGGAAAGTCCATGTTTTGCAGTAACATTGTTACCATGGTAACTTGTTCTCATCTTGTACTATTCTGACTTTTCATTGATTCAATGTATGTAACGTAAAATATCTTTCGCAAGAAGACATTAGATTTGTACCTCAAAGAGTTGCGTTTATCATTTAATAACATGAACGTATAGTAAAGGATACAATATATCAGTTAAAAAAACAAAGCCATCTAAAAAATATTATTTATATATAAACTCAACTACGTAAGCATTCATCCCTTTCAATATGACATCAATACCTTACAATAAGAACAACTTGTGACCTGGAGTTAAAAATACACGCAGGATATAGGTCCGCATTTGCAATTGTAATATTTTATGTCTTCCGCTTTCAAGTTACTGAATGACAATGGTCATTCTCATTCTAAGATATCGATATACATGATTATTTAACAAAGTGTTCTTTCGTTCTGGAGAATATAAACTATATTATAATCGAATTTGCAATGTATAGGAACTTTCATTGTGTAAATGCAATTCCATTGTAGTGTTATATACTCCATCCCTACAGTCATTACTTAGGCAAACTATTTCTTACATTATTGCCATGGAAACGTTATTACTGCTGAAAATATTTTCTCCTAATAATATATACGGTATATACGGTATATATGGAACGAACTTTAAGCGGCAGAGCGGTTGTGGTAGCATTTTTCGGAACTTTTCTTATTAAAAAACTAATTAAAGATAATTAATAAATATTGATAGATTTCTCAGCTTATAAAATAAGCTTGCATTATTAGAGATGTATGTATAAATCTTTAGATGTAAAAATATTATCAAGAGATCTTGTTTTTAATTCCTTATTGAGAAATTCGATGAAGTCTTCATCTAAAGCCAGCAATCGAATTACTGTGAGTAGATAACCTAACGAATAGGATTTTGTCTCCTTGGAGAAAGTTACTTATTCGTACTTCCAATTTCTCCCGCCAGGTAGTGTAGTGACACATCGAATTTTCCAATAATATAAAGTTTCTTAAGATTCAAGTATCAACTTGAATATTTCGACAATTTTAAAAGCTTATCTTTAGCTACATCACAGTACAAATAATCTTGTTATATATATAAATAAAAAATAACACGATTGCTGCAAGCAATCTCAATAAAGATTCGTATATATAAAGTTGAAAAATTTTAAACTGATGATAGAAGTTTTATAGAAATTGATACGTGAATAATTCCTCAATGCAACAAATTTTTTTTAAATGAATCTGTAGCTAATTGAAGTAATCTGTAATAACTGGTTAAGAAATAATATACTTTTTTGTGGATTATTTAATCTGTTCACATTAAAAAATGCGACTACTGTATATGCTACCAAATACCTGCTGCGTCGCTGTTAAATCATAATCTATTAATTGATACTTTTATGCGCAATATATAGATATAAAAAAGATTTGCTAAATGTAACTGCTGGATATCCAATGTAATAATATGGATACTGGATCCATTCCCTAACTATTCCCTCTAAATTATAAAACCCCTCCCTGAGGATTATGAATATCCAGCAGTTGGGCAAAAATGCTATCTACTAGTCTAATAGTAATGGTTAGCCTATTTCAATCATCTCTGCATCTTCCACGTTGTTGTGACTAACAACATTATACCTAGAACATTATCATATTCTTTTTAACTCGATAATTTTATAATATGAAATCGTACACTATAAAATAATTAATTTAAAAATAGAATTTGTAACTTTTATATTCTTACGTGTGATTTGGTAAATGGGTATTGTGAAAATGAAGATGCGTCGTCCGAGGTGAAAAACCACGAGTTGCTTTGCGAGGACTTCTAGCTTTTATGACTCGTGGTGATGACATGGTACTTAAATAGGGTTGTTGAAGAAATACATCTTCCATTATGCTTGGTGCTACATATGTGAATCCCTGAAGAAAGTTATATTATTAAGAAATGCTATCAGATAAGCATCATGACTTATTAATTTTTTTAGTTTTAAGAAATGAAGAAAGAAGATCTATATTGGTGAAAATAAATATTAGACACATATATAGTCTCAGATAAGCATCATGACTTATTAATTTTTTTAGTTTTAAGAAATGGAGAAAGAAGATCTACATTGGTGAAAATAAATATTAGACATATATATACCGATTTTGTCAAGTCTTATGAGAAAGATATACTTTTTTCTCTCTGTATATTATACTATTTCATACTTAAAGCCAGGAGTAAGACATACAAGTTAAAGTGAGTGAGTGAGTGAGCATGAGTGTGTATGTGTGTAGAAGTATACATAACTTTCTCGTAGAACTTTAGCAAGATCGCTTGTAGCCGTACTCTATTATAAAATTCTTATGCTCCTAATATAATTAAGAAAAAACTTACCTGAAATAACCCATCAGCTGATTCGCTCAAAGTGTAATCTACTGGAGAGTCTATTGGTGCTGAAGTAGTAAATTTCTTATCAAATTGTGATACATCTTCTTCACTAGACAATTTTGGTCTAAAAGGAGGTTTTAACTGTCGAGATATAACGTCGTTCCAATTGATATGTTTAAAGAATTTGTGTGCCTTTACTTCTTCACCATCTGATTGAGCAGATCCCAATCTTTGTGCAACTTGCCTCTATACAAAAGAAAATTACATACTTTTAATATATATTACATTTTTTCAAAATAATATCGCTTTTAAATTAAGAATATTAACAGCGAGATTAATTCATAACACTAACCTTTAATAATTTTCGAATAAGGTCTTTAGCATCGGCTGTTAAGTATGCTGGCAGAGATAATTTACCACGTAGAATTCTGTCGATAGTTCTCTTCCTACTGTTTGAGCTAAACGGTGGCTAAAAATTTAGCAAATAGTAATGTGAATTAATATGCACATTCTTTAAGTTCATATCATGAATATACTATAACGGTTTCATTTAGTTCATACGTAAAGGCAATACATACTGCTCCTGTAAGCATGTCATACGTTAAACTTCCCAAACTCCACCAATCTACTGCTTTTCCATGTCCACTTCTTGTTAAAATCTCAGGTGCCCTTTAATAAAATAGTACAACAATCAATACAAATTATAGTTTTAAATTATAATTGTAAAATTTCTTAGCAATCTACATTTTATGATATTTACATATATTCGATAGTTCCACAAAATGTATGTGTAAGAGCACCCTCTTGTATATGCTCTTTACATAATCCAAAATCAGTCAATTTAATATGTCCATCTGCATCTAATAAAATATTTTCTGGTTTCAAATCTCTGAAACAATTTATTACAAGCGTCATAAATTCAATGCCGCAAACAAAATGTTTAATATATATCAATTATATATTGCAGCTTTAAATTATATTTTAACTCTTGATGTAGAGAATTTATAAAAAGAAAATACGATACCTGTATATAATTCCTTGCAAGTGTAGATGTTGTAGAGCTAACGTAATTTCGCATAAATAAAAACTGCAAAACAAATGATATGATATAAAATGCTAGTTATATCTTTGAAGTTTGAACAAAATAATTTAAGATATTTTCATGATTCACTCACCGCGCAGTATCTTCCATGAAAATTCCTTCGTCGTTTAAATGATGGAACAATTCTCCACCACACATATATTCCAATATCAAATATAATTTATGACCAGTTTGAAAGGCATACTTGAGATCTACGATAAAGGGATGCTGCCAAATGCAAGCATAAATAAATGAATTGATATTTTGTTTAAAATATGAGTATGATATATGAGATAAAAGAAAATAGAACGTTAGCTTTTAAACATGTTAAAAAGTTAGGAATTACAAGTATCTTTTTATACGTACTATTAAGAGATTATATACGTATATTAACCATTTGTTGAATTCTAAATACTGCATATTTTTTAGCGTATATGAATATAACTAACCTTTATGGATTCCAAGATGTTCCTTTCAGCTCTAGTGTGAGCTGTATCTTTCTGATTTCTTACAATCAAAGCCTTGCGCAATACCTGTTTCAAACAAAACACAAAAGAATATGTTGAATGATTGAAGAAAAAAGTGATACAGATAAAAACATATGACAGTGGAAGATAATATAAAAATAGATACTGATTAAAGAATTTATCATTAGCATTCTAAAGATAAAACTGTAAAAGCTAATTTTTTTCAGTTCACAACAATTAAAGTAAAATTGCTAGATCATGTAAGTTTCTTGTTCATAAAATGTTGGCTGACCAAGAAAAATATGAAATGTAAATCAAATAATAAAGAAGGATCAAATATACGGACTAGATTTTGGTATCTATTCGATATATATATTTATAAAAAATTGAAATACATCTTTCAATTACATAAACTGTACTATTTATTATCAGATGTAATCATAAACAATGCAGCAAAGTATCATATAATTTTGACATATTAGTAATACGAAACAATGAAATAACATTCTTAAATTACCAATATTGCTGTAATGATTCTTTATCGAAGGTAGTTTTCACACATTGCTTATTTAGCAAACACTGCATATTTACAGAAATCACATTGCACAATTTTGTATTAAAAGAATTTCAGTACCTTCATAGCGAAGATCGTGCCGCTGTCGTTTCCCGTTATTTTGCGCACTTGAAACACTTTGCCGTAGCCGCCTTTTCCAATAACTTTGCACAATTCAAAGTCTTGCGGTCCGACCTTTTCGTGCGTGCGATTAACGTTATGCTCCGATATCGCCACCGTCTCCACCACGTCCGACGAGCTGGAAGCGATAAGCAGGAGAAATTTAATAATTTCTTGGCATTAACGATAAGAGTGGCAAGGTGGAGTAACCACCCGTCGCAAATTTTGCAGGCCATCTCGATTTTCGGATCTCTATAAAAGCGTCTCGAAAGAACGCCATTTATCCCAATTTATCACAAAACGTAAATGAACATTATATAAATTTACTAGTGCACATTTAAACCAACGCGGGGAAATCCCAGGGTCGTTCCAATGTTTCAAAGTTGATATCCCGAAATTAGCTAATCAAGAATTCGATCACCCAAATGACAAGCGGGGGCAGATTGCGTGCAGGTAGAGGTACACGCGACACGAGCGGAACACGCGCGCGGAGGTCCTATACTCACCTTACGATCTCATGCTCGTTCAGCGTGACGCATTCCTCCTGCGAAAAGGAAAACAGATGCGACGTTAGAATGACGGTACACGTGCCGCTGTCGCGGGCGGGCGCGACGCGGAGGTGGTATTGGGATTCCAGTCGGGAGATATAAAAAGGAGGGCGGGGAAGTCCTAATTACCGCGTCGATCTCAATGATGTCGTCGTCCTCCGACTCGTCCCTGTGCGGCAGTCCTGCATCCTGCAGCTCGATATCAAAGATCGCGGACATCGTGTGGTCGGTGCGCTCGCAGTCGCGTCGCTGTTCACTTTACACCCGACACCTGGGAGATGAGAGAGATTCAGGCGCGCCGGATCACTCTCTCGCGTCCTCTCGCGCGCGCGAGATGTCAACACATGAAATCCGTACAGTCCTAGCGCGCCGTACGCGAAAGCAGCAGGCCGCCCCAGCAGGTACGAGCGGGGTATACGCGGAGCCGCACGACGAACGCGTTCGAGACTCGCTCGCAGATGGTCGCGGAGTGACGACGAGTGATGACGGGAACTCGATTCGCAGAACAAACCGAAATCACTCCTGTCCCGTCGCAACCACGCCGACTGCCGTGGAGAGGGGGAACACGAACCTCTCAGCCAATCGCGTCGCGCGTTGCCGCTCCCACGCACTAACCATGAGGCTTCCACGCGGCGGATTCGAATCGAGCATTCTCGACATTCCAAGTCGTCCATTTTTTTGGCTGCTTTTCATATTGCTTTCCATTTAGACAATCATTGCACCGACGTTGCTTTATCTTTAAGCGAGGCTCTCTTTCTCTCGGCTTTGGAGAGAAAGAGAGAGAGAGAGAGAGAGAGGGGTTGAGCTTCGCTTAAAGTCAAAATAATGTTAGTGCAATCGGATCTTAGTGATACAGTTGGCATAAACATCATTCTATCGTTCCTGACATTCAGCGAGTATAACAAACAAAAGACAGAACGATTTGTATTACCAAATAGAAAGCTGCTATATGTATTTTGAAACGAGATGAAAATTTACAAAAGTGAACGAATCTCTCTACTAGAATATTTATAATTTTATTGGTCAATATCTAATAAATTTATTCATTTTTTTGTAAATAAATTCATTTACTTTCCTTTCGTTTTAAGATACGCAATCAACCCCAGCCCAGATAACACAACTGATCCGTTTGAACTCAAAAAATATTCACCTTCTTAAGTTCTTTTTATGAATTAACATAATTTGTTTAAAATAAATTTAAAAAAAATATATATATATATACACAAATATATTATATACTTTTTATATACAAAAATATTACCTTCAATAAAAGTAATAATTAATTTGCACCGAAGTATAATTTACTTTTATATAATTAAAAGATCGAAAAATTAAGAAATAGAAAAAATAATGCTAATTGACGGTATAAAATTGAAATCTTTTTGGATTCTGCTATCTAAATATTCTTTTAGCTAAATGTCTTCTTATTTGTTTTACTTTCCGTTTTTCCTACCTGACATTGAAGAAAAATAGAAAAAAGAAACATTGTTCAGTTGGCAATAAGAATAGAATAATATCAATAGAAATGATTCTTTTGTGCAACCCCGTTTCAAAAAGATCTATAAAAGAAATGTCGTTTTCTTAAGAAAAGAATACATTGTCTGAAAATTTTTATACTCCTAAATATACACGAAAAAAAAAGAAAGTTTCATAATATAATACATAAGCGGGAATTGTTTTATTTTTTTTTTAATTCTGCTTGTTCTCATATCATAAATTTATCTTCGCGTCAATTGTTAAATATAATGCGTATACGGTCACAATTATCTCTCGCTCCCTAAAAGAATTGGAATGCCTGTCGAGTTTTCGTCACAAAGATCTTTGTTTAGACCATTTCGAGCGTTATTTCTTTCATCCCTCTTTTGTTCCCAGGAGCTATATCAAATTCTCGGAACGCAAATGCGTCATTCGTTCGCGAATAAAGATCCTCATCGCACGGTGTAACTATATACAATAATAGATCGCGCGCTTGCGAATTGTGCAATTTTGCGAAATTCGCAATGTATCGAATTCGAATGGAAAATCATTTTGCTTAATATTGTTGAATGATTTATATACGTTTTTGATACAATTCGATATGATTACTTATCGGTGTCGTTATCGCGCCGAACGTTGGATAACAATGATAACACGTTATTGTATATATTGCTGATAGAGATAACGTAAGTTCGCAAGAAGTATCCTCCTACAGGCGATAGAATTTCATACGTTTGCCGTCCGTCCGTCCGTACTTCTAAACAGACGCGAGCGCCGGGTCTTCTTCGCTCGTATTTGCCAAAAATGGTCCCATCGATTGAACGTCGATACGTGCAAGGATACGAGAAGTTTCTTGAAGTTACGAGTTCAGCAGATCCACAACAGCCTAATTACGTTCTGTTCACCGGTACAAAGCTGTCGGACACCGGCAAGAGTTGGTGTCCAGATTGCGTGGAAGGTGAGCTCCGGCAAGAGTTGGTGTCCAGATTGCGTGGAAGGTGAGCGATCTTCCTTTTTTTTTTTTTTTCGCATCGACATAACCTAACTCTTGAGTATTGTCGGATCTCTTTGAATAGCTCAGAATTGTCGGAGACGAATTTTACAAAAGTCTATTGTAAATTTGGATTTACTACTTGAATGGCAGGATGACGTCAAAAGACGTGATGGTGACGTCTAGTACTTCAAAATAGACGTCACTGTGTTCGGACGTCATCATTGATCGGGTTTAACGCTTCATGTACTTACCTATAAGTAGTTATTGCTTCTGACGCAAGAAGTGTCATGTAAGCGCTAGTTAATTCGATTGACTTTTAAAACACTCGTTTTAAAGCCGGATTTAATTAGTTTTTATATAACATCATTTATTTCGTTAGCGTTTACATATATATTTTACGTCAGTTGTCGATACTTACAGATATTACTAAATCTGATTAATAGTGGTGTATAAATGTATGTCACTGACGTCTAGTAAAGCAAAACAGACGTCACTACGTTGTCTTTTGATGTCTCTCTACTTGGGAAAATGTTAGCAAAATATGACAAAAGATGCTTTCTATTTAGTGACACAAACATTATTTTATTTTTCTAACTTTTGTAGCTGAAACAATTTGTAGCTGAAATGTTGGTTAGCTTTTTTAATTCATAAGAATGAATAAAGTGTCTCATACGCATTTATATCTAAATATATTCGAATATAATTTGGAAATCTCTTATCGAAGTATCACTTTTAGAAATTTAAATGGTAATGAAATGTAAACATTTGTAAAGTGATATAAAACTATTTAATCGAAAACAGCATTTTTGCAGTGTATCATGTTATTGACTTGCGTTATAGTTTGAAAGTATACGAATCAAACACTGAGTTGCACAGTACACTTGTATATATTGCTGGAAAGTATTCAAAATATGCCAACACAGTATATAACGGAAAATTAATTGCAGAATTCGAGCAGACTTCACTATTTTTTCTTATTATCTATATTATATATTTCATTGATTGCTGCATGTTCTAAAATTAAGTTAAATATCAATGTCAGATTTCTAAAATACAGGAAATATGATAGGAAATAATATGACTAATAATGAAACAATGCATGAGATATCTATTTCCGTAAATAAAAAATTTATCAATTATCCGAACTCTATTGCACTAGTCGTCATTTAGGACTTTCATATCAAGATATAAATATAAGAATAAGAAATTTATTTAAGAGAAAATTGAAATTTTATTAAATATTATATCTTCTCTTTAATTAATTTTAAGTTATACACTAATTTTTTATTTACTTTTATGCATATAATGTTGGAAAGAAGAAAATGCAAATATATATTAATGCTGATACAATTGGGTTTTAGGTTATCATTATATGTACTTAGAATTGCTTTATTTTCTTTCAGCTGAACCATTTATTGAAGCTGGTTTCGCAGATGCACCTCAGGGTACAGTATTACTGACAGTGGAGGTCGGGGACAGGGCATTGTAAGTATATAAAATATTTATACTATTGAATTGTTATTTTTATATGAATTATTATGTATAATACAAATATTGCAATTGTTATTTTCATATGAATTATTATGAGCGTATATTATGTAATAATTGTTATTTAATAACATAAAATAACATATAACATATGTATATAGATGTTATTTTAATTAATACAGGAAAAGTCTTAAAAAATATGGAAGATACAGGAAAACATTTTTCAAATTGTATGATCTGATGGGAAATAAAACAATAGAATTTTCGATAAAGTCAAATTTTTATAGACAAAGTTATGACCATTTTTAAAAAATAAAATTGTATGGTTTCTTTTACATATAATTTCTCTGTATTTTTATATGCAAAATAATTACAGAATTAATTACGTAATAATATCATAGAATTTCATTTTAAAAAGTGGCCTTTATATAACATAAAAAGAACGACTTTCTTGAAAAAAAAAAAAAAAAAAAGATTTTATTATTGTTTGTCCTCTTTTAATCCATAAAATTTTTATCTAAAGCATCTCTCCATATATCTTCCATATTTCTTGAGATATTTACTTATGGCAATTAAAATAGAACATACTGTATAATGTAAGAGAGAAAGTTTTAAAATACTTTTATACACTTTCCTAGCTGGAAAGATCCAAATTGTCCATTCAGGACAGATCGTTATACCAGGTTGAAGGTCTTGCCGACTTTAGTTAAATGGAGGACTGAGAAACGTTTAGAGGGTGATCAATTACTGAATCCTGAGCTTATCGAAATGTTACTGTCAGATGTAGATGTAGACTAAAAATATTTGTAATACATATTTCTATATTTTTTTTAATAAAAAATACATATTGAATTATAAATGTATATAAATCACATTCTCATGTACGATTGTATTGTTTATCTATTCTTTTTTATAATTATCCTTTTTACCCTACTTTGAAAAAAATGTCAAGAATACGAGTAAAGATTATCTAAATTTAACTAATGGGGTATATTTATTTTTTATGCATTGCATGCATATATGCTATAATTATTATTGTAATAATCGACCACTTTTGAGCAATAAAGAAAAAGAAATGCCAAACAAACAATCAATTAAAATATTGTTCTAAAATCTATAAATTACAAAGAATTTATTTTATATCTAAATTTACTATGAAATCGTGATGTAACATCCTTCCAAAATTTTAGCTTGATCTGTTACGAGTATGAAATATGAACAACTAATGGTATTGTAAATTTCCTAAAAGGATCCATTTTATTACATAATTGATGTCATTGTCGGTGGTAATATACGTACGGAATAATGAACCTTTTTATTCCTTAGAATACTGTAGGTATTGTCGAAAACGACGGAATCTGAAATAAATTTTAAACAATAAGAATCTTATTCGACCGTATATGTAAATAAAATTTAGAAAACAACGTTGTTATTTGCTGCTCAAGCAATATAGGCTTACAAATCGTTGGAGTTTCGCAAGTTAATAATCCAATTTCATCCGATTGATGGGACGCAACCCTCCGAATAGGTATAACTTCTGTTTTTGTACCATTAGTCTCGTCTTTTTTCAGAATTCCAAATTTGATGTCATGACCCTCGCTTCGAAATTCCCAACTGAAGGATATGAATATAAGGATATGAATTAAAAGAAAGAAACTTTCCCTTCCTATATGTTTGTAGTAAGGAAAATATATTTACCTTAAGATGGAACCCACTTCGGGTGCAGAAATATCGAATTCTAACTTTCCTCCTTTCCGAACGACGACGGTAGTATAATCCTCGTTTGGCTTATCCATATTTTTGGTGTATATTTCTTTAGGTATCTTACCACCTTGGCAGATCTGACAATAATTTTAATTATTATTTTTCGAAATAGTTTATACGATACATATTTTACATTTAAGGCTCTATTCACTGTAACTTAAGATTATAACATCAAAAGCGAGAAAAATACATTTAAAAAACTCTTGCAAACTATATTAAAATGAATTTTTAATATATTTTAAAAGAATTTTATTATGTGTTTTCTCGTTTCTGACATCATCAATCTAAAGATCCATGATGGTCAGAAGCCTTAACGAAACCTAAGTAGATTTATTATCACAAAGCCAAATAAATGTATCTTATAAAGCAAGATGTAAAAATTACAATAAAAAGCCAAATTTTTTGACGAGATTTACAGTTTTTTTAAATGAAAATTTTTGAGGAGAGGTATATTAATTTCAAATACTAGTATTTAAATTGAGGCGTAATTAAGCTTATTACAAAACATATATTCTATCGGAGTTTTCATTTCACCGGCTATTCCGTGTTTTGTGCGTAATTTTGAAAGAGATTTAAAATACTTTTGAAGTATATCTTGGGTTGCCGTCTGGATCTGTTAGTGTTCCACCATAATGGACAGGTAGTTGATCTTTTGATATGAGTTTAAGAATTGCTGCTTGCCATTTTATCGGCTCGGCTTTGTAGATTTGTATTTTTGACAAAGTATAGTCATCCATGAATTTCTTAATGATGGTAAAAGCGAAAGCAAAAACTCTTGGAGCTGCAACAATGCATACACAGTTCCTCTTCATGTTTCTAAAAATCTTCTAGATATGTCAGTTGTAAGTAATTTATCTTGAACAAAATTCAGACTACTTGACATTTCGAAGAGGAATGGAATTGAAAGAATGTCGGAATACCCAAAACTAATATGCATCTTTCAAGTATAATATATATGATCATGCTATGACTCATTGATGATCCATATTAAAAAAATTGTTATTAATGGGACAACATGAAACACGTTAAAACATATTTTTTGTATTGATATTTTATAAATAGTCCTTTTCAAAAACAAATTAATTTAATAATGAAAGAATGTTCAACTACAAACAAAAAAGAAAATCGATAAAGTGCAATAAGAATGCGACGCAGTTAGTATATAAGTATCATGTATAACTGTTGTCTTATTCTGAAGTTATATCATATATGTACATATGTATATCTCAACAGAGCAAAACAATTAAATAATACTACACGCATTATTTACGCACTAACAACCGCGTTGCACTTTCATTGTATTTTATTAATTTTCTTTTTCAGTTTTTTTTGACATCAGTATATCAAAGAATATTTTATTTCAAGCAGTAATAGATCACTGATATCTAAATACGTGCTAGTATATTATGATTATTATATTTTATTAAACTTACCGTTGATCAGGAAGCACATCTTTAAAATTTCCGGATAGTTTGCCTCGTACATTTGGATGAAGGTGATGACAAGCTCGCCAGCTATACCGATAAAACAATAACAGTAAAAAAAAAAAATAATAGAATGTATTAAGAAAAAATTTATGTCGTATTTTTACCTGGTTTCCACAAGTACTGCTTAAGATTAAATCCTTCCATGTCGAAGATAACGGTTAGTTGATTAGCAATCTGCCCATGTTTCTTGGATTGCTCCCTGGCTAATTTCAAATAACCATCTAACAATTTTATCATAAGTTTGACGAATTCCTTCTGTGTTATTACATGTAATGCTCCGTACATGTCCATACCAACAAATGGTACGATGATCACTGTAAAAATAATATACATATACATATAATAAAAAATAATATTAATTTTTAAAAAAGCACAAGCAAAGCATTTTATCGATTTCAAATTTTCATAATCTTTTTATGCTTGAAAGTTCTTTTGCTTTATTTATTACACTTTATCTTTTATATTCATAATATAAAAATATTACAAGTAAACGTTTAATATATTCAATGCAATAACAAAAATTCGGCGCAATTAAATAATAATTTTTTTGTCGATTTCAGATTTATAAACATGTATAAATAAAATCTGAATAAAAATTATTTTTATCGCCAATAAGAAAAATTTGTTCGAATTCAATCTAATTAAATAAAGAATTTTCGATAGTATCATATAAAGTCTTAAATAACAATTATTTTTTCAGTTAAAATACACTGGTGTGTTCGATATTTGATTCGAGTGTTAATGATATTTTTTTATCATGAGAGAAAAAGAAAAAGAGAAAATCAAAAAGATTCATTAAAAAGAATATTATGCTTCGAAATAATTGTGATCAAGGGTTTGTTAAATATATTTTTTATGAAGAAATTAAAAGAGAACCTTTGCGAGAGTTGAATGAAGACCTTGACCGGATTACTGAAATATTGAAACCTGTATTTCAGGTTCTAAACTAAAAGGAGGGAGTGTAAAAATGGCTAAAATTGGCCCTGAATGTACAGCTTCCATAGATTCATGGAATAATACTTACTTATCCAAGAAAGCTTGGGAAACCTTTCAAAAATAATAAAACAGGTCGTTTAAATGCTCTGCAAAGAAACTTATTTTGTTTCTAATAAACGATAACGAAATTAATGGTTTATTTACATCTAACACATGTTGGATCATGAAATATTATAAGAATATCCTACCAGGAAGATCTACACACTCACACATATATATGTATATATATAAGTGGTAAATATATGATATCTACATATATACGCCCAGCTTTTCTTTTATGATAAAAATATAAGCATAATTGATCTTTTGCATATTATTATGCAAAAAATTGGACAATGTGAAGGATAATTAAAGAAATCGCACAATTATATGATCAATTATATTACATAAATATAGGTTTTACATTAGATAATCGTGCGTGACCTGGAGTCAACGAACGGGGACGTGACGGTTACTGCCTCCATTTTTTTGTTTTATTATTTTTTTTGTTGATTCTTTATTTTTTATTTTTTTATGTTTTATCTTTACTTCATTATTTATTTTTTTTACATTTTATTCTTCTTTATTTTTATCGTTTTTATTCTTATACAACTATTCGTAATCTGTTCTTGTTAAGTCTTTCTTGTCATTAATTCTCTTCGGATTCAGATTGAGAAGTTTCAGATTGAAAAATATTTTGAAAATAATCTTCTATAACGATTCTGCTGGTAAAATGTAATTTATAAAAGCACGATATACATATCTTATAAATGATATTATACCCGAACTTTCACTGTAACTATATCGATGTCATTAAAGTGTATCAGCAAAATGTTTGCTCATTTAGTATAATATACACTTTGTAATTTTTATTTTTCTCGAATTTTTCTTACAATAACATTTTATAATATTTTTTGAATAATATGTATAGAGTTGGAAAAGTTACTTTACAAGTTATATTTATATGTTACTTTTTCTTATATAAGAAATTAAATACGATAAGTTCGGATATTTTATTTTTTTATATTATATTTATCATTTGTTTTATAATTTTGTATTACTTTTTGTATTACTATTTTTGTTACTCAATTTCTATAATAAATATTTAAGGAAAAATTTAAACACGTGAAGTAAAATCAAATGGATGTTATAAACGTAAAAAGGTTAAAGTAGATTTACGATGCAAAAATCGACCATACTGATTATAATAAAATAGATTTTACCTGGTGCTCCATCTTTGTCGAATCCACTTAATCCGTAAGGCAGGTACGGTTTTATTATTTCAGGTACTTCCCAATCGTCCAAATTATCAGCATCCCATTGTTTTCGCCATTGTATCGACTATATAAATAAATTTTGTTTTCATTTAATTATTACAGAATGTACATTGTGTAGTAATTAAAATTATCAAAACAACAAGATAATCAATAGGCTTATTGTAAGATTTTCAATCGAAAAAAAATATTATTTTTAGTAAACTTAACAATTTGTTGAACACAAGATTTGACTTAAATCGGACGTTACCACCACGGTATTTTATACTTCACACTTAAATAATTTATATTTTGTGTGCGCTACCATTATGTATGTAACTTTTATATTTAATTAATTTTCTTTGTACTGAAGAGGACCTGAACCGAAGGTCGTAACGAATAAGATTTATTATTCATTTCGAATAAATTTTATATAAAAAACACACTGATAACTTGTGTCGGCTCATATTGGTATTTTAAAATTATCAATGTTTTTTTATATATATTTCTGATATTATATTGATAAATACGTGTTTTGTTATATTGTATTTTTATTATTTCGGATATTTTACATTATTTACAACAATATCTATACTGTATGGATATACATATGCCGGCATTTTTATTTTAATTAGATTTTAATTAATCTTAAATAATTTAATCAAGAGATTTTTCAATAACTTTTATTTTTTATTCAATAGCGCAAAATTAAAAGTGCAACATATAATGTTTATATTACAATACGTGAAATATTTCCATATGAATTTTTTTTCTTTGTAACATTAATATATTGTGAAAGTTAAATTTCTTTTATAAAAAAACGATAATAGATTAATTGGAATCTAAACATATCAGTTGTTTATTGCTTGACTCACTCAAAACAGATGTACATGATAGAAAAGTGTTACATTTTAAATAAATTGGCGATATATAAATAAAAAAAATTAATTTTTTTAAATTATAACAGTGTTATAAATCATTTAAAATTCTTAGGTTATCGTGATGTAAGTAGATCAGTGCACTCCTCATTCTGATGAAGTGAACAGCAAGGTTCACAAAACGTTGGCATGGATTAGTAACGGATAAAGATAGGGCGATGACCCGCAAACGTTCTAGTATTTTTGATGTAAGTAGGTCAAAACATATTTAAATTTGTTATAAAAGTTACGCAATAATATCATTTCGTATAAAATTATTAAATATAAAAATATATGTAAAAAATATAATATGTATTTAGTTCAACCAAATATTACGCTTATAACAGAAATTTGAAATAATTTTATTGTTCCGTGCTATTTTTTTCACACGTGTAATATCTGTGTAAAAGAATACGGCTTGTAGGTTTATATGTTACGGTATAACATGTGCCGTTGGAACGTCTTCAGTCAGTGCTGAGGTATCCGAAGACACACTAAAGATGAAAGAAATATTTCTCATAATTTACAGTTAACGATTTCAGGAATAACGGGGTTTCACGCGGAATAGAAAGTGAAAAAGGATAATTTTCTGAAGAAATTACTTCGGAAGATATTGAGTCGTATCATAGATCCTCGGTTTTCAATCATTGTGAAACTTCTCAACGCAAGAGTACAGATGGTGACTTCGCGAACGTGCTTCAGAGAATCAGCACATTACTTTCGACTTACAAAATGGTATGTACAGAGTGCAACTTTCTATTTCATATAAAACATCTATGAGAACAAAAAAGCGGGACCGTTGACAGCAAATCCTCAATATCCGATACGAATCCGGAAGGATACTTTCTTTAATTTAATCGCGATAGAATTAACTGCGATTATTTTGAATCATGTAACAATTATTTGATCGTTACTTACGCATAAAAAGATCATTAAATTATCGTCTTCACATTAATAAATAATGCAAAACATTAAATCTATTATGTTTGTTACATATTAAATTTATATATGTATATACAAATATATTATTGAACATGTATTGTGTACATTAATTAATCTTTATTTTTTTATCATTAAATCAAAGAATACTTACAAAAAATAGAACATTTACATTTATCTATCTATTTTTGTTTGATGTATGACCTTTGATGAAATAACGTTTCTGTTGGAGGAGACGGATTAACAATGAGATGATGAAGTTGTCTTGACATTGTCGATCGGTATTCAGTTCCGATCAATAGAACTCCACTCACAAAAAATAGATGAGGATTTCTCATCGAGATACAATACACAAAAGAAGTTTTTAGAATGTAACGAACTGTGACGCGATTCACTAAGTTTACGCCTGCCGCGTTAATATTTAATGACTCGCGAGTAATTCACGTGGCAGAGAAATTTAAAAGGCTCGGTGACCGTATCCGGAACGTGTTTCACCAGACTTTCTCAATTGGATTCGCCTGCGTTTTGTGTAATACGAATAGTGAATCTAATCTGCGGGAACGGAGGTCGAGTAGGTAACTAACGTAGCGTCCATAGACCGAGTAATGCAAAAATATACATGTACTTTATTTAGATTTAAGATATAAGTGAAATGTTATGAGTATTAGATACACAATTGCGATATAAAAAAAAACATGTTTTTACACAATTATACTTACATCTCTCAGCATTTTTTCGGCTGCAGTTGAATTCCATTTTCGCGCTAAAAAAAAAAAAACAAATTTATTTCAATTTACATTTTGTAAATGATATATTTCTAAGAACTATTTGAATTATCGGTAAAAAAAAGTATCGCTTATATGTAAATCTACGATACTTATAATTTATCAAAGACATCTATATTTCAACAAGGATGGCGAATATTAGTGCAAAATTTATTCATTTATTATGGTGTAATTTGCATATAATATAAAATAAAATTTATTCGTATATTATTATGCATATGACAACATAAAAAAATGATAAAAAATATTCAGTTTTACTCACGTAGTCACAAAGTTGTTGCATTACTTATTTAAAATTAAATTTATTAAATTATATTATTTTAATGAAAAATATTGTTTAAATATACATTGAAAACATTTTCACTATTTATTGGCGTATATGAGTCTTGGCAATTTATATGACTCACAATTCTGGAAGTAGCTAATGATAACCGATAATGTCGAGTTTCCGCAATTTTGTAGTTCCATTTCAAAACAGTTTAATAACTTCGTTAAGTGCCGCTTCGGAACATATGTACACATACAAAACAAGTAAAAGACAATGGATGTCGTGTCAATTTCTATATATGGATATTTCTCACGATACGCATGACTACGTTATGTACACATAATACAGGATAAAACATTTATCGAAATCACGAAGCATAGTTTCTCATTGTTAGATAATGGTCGTGTTTCAGTAGAAAAAGCAGCTTTGTAACTGTTGTAAAATTCTTTAATATAATATATTGGTCTTGCCTTTATAGTTCCTCACTAGATCTAAATATGTACATCAATCATATTCAAGAATTTCACAACAGTTGCAAAGATATTTTTTTTGCTGAATGCAGCCATTATTAATTGGTTATCAGGTAGAAAATGCGGAGGGCCATACCTCTTAACCAGCGAAGCAGAAAGTAGTCATCGTGGTGTGGCTGTAAGATGTCTTGCACTGACCGTCGGAACTGCACAAAAAGAGAAGAAAGGAAATATTTAGATCTGCTTTGTTTATTTTCTATATATACATTATATAACAATCGAAAGCGTACACTTTTGATTGCACAATTTTATGACAATAATAAGATTAATTGAAAACAATTTTATGATTGATTTTATGATATGATTATTATAATTTCATTTGATCTTGTCTGAGTGTTTACAAATCGAACGTGAGAATGAAGATAATATAAAAACTAAGAATATTAAGTTACTTTATAAATATGTATGATGTGCGCACATTATAAGCAATTAAATGTTTATTTTCATTAAAACGTAACATGTTTACGTAAAGATTATATTATACGTTTTTCTCTCTCTCTCTAGAAATAGTGCGCACTAACTTTGTTCACGTTGCTTGGAATCGTCGTTGCACCGCAAGGTTTTTCAACGTGCGATTCTTAATTATGATTTATAGGAAACAAATGCTACCGTGTGATATAATAATAATGATGATGTACGCGAGCGTGAGGAAGTGAAACTTCCGTGTCGACTCTTGTAATTATCAATGTTATCTCCGCGAAATAAAGAAAGAGAGAGATAAAAGACATCTCTGTACCGAGTTGTTACATTATTATTAAACCTAATCAGTGTCTACTTTCACTTAAATCTATAGGATATCACAGAGAGCGTAGAGTTTGATGATGTTAATATTTATCTTGCATATATTCTATATATATATATATATAAGATGTTCATCTTCAAGAATATAATTTGTTTTACAATTCAGTTGATTTTCATTGTTCTAATGATTTTAGTTTTTCTCTTTATATTGCGTAAATATATTATCATGAACTAAAATAGAATTCACATTTTTCCTCGATAAGCATTCGTACATGATTAAAAGTCGCTTCTTAAAAGTTACTTTAAAACTTTAAAGATAATTTTGCGCATGAATTTATTTATTTATGGATATCGCCTTGAACAAAATGTGAAATGCATATGCATCTATTGGTGAAATATTTTTATTTATAAAAAGGAAAGGAAAGAAGAGAAAAGGAATATTGTTTTGTGCCATCAAGTTAATCAATGTGAATCTTTTTCTTAACAAACAAAATTATTTGCATAATTACTCGTATTTGTCGAATTGTCAAAACATGTAATTTCCTTGATGGTAGTACTTAGAATATACAGTAAATACAGCATATGACAAGAAAGTATTGCTGCAAGGTGGAAACAATTTTCGACTGGATTTCGAGTCTACGAGAGTAGCATAAACTGTATATGTTTATATACATATAATGAAAGTTTTTAGTAGAGCTGAATAGTTGAACAAGATTAAAGCGTATAGCAGTTAAAATTCTTCTTACGAATAGGAAGGAAAATCTTGCTAATTATTCTATTAAAAAATTGCGAATTGTGTGTGTGTTTCGTCACAAAATAATTGCCCATTGCATGCATGAAATAATCGAAATGATATGATAAGAATATTATTGTCGATCTCTTGTATGAAAGATGTTATGACATTGATCTTATTTCTTAATGAATAAGAATAAAAAAAAGAATGTAAACAGGAGTAAGAGGATCAGAATAGGTCACACATCGTCATCATAATTATCGAACGACAAGTAAACCGGTTTTTCTCTTTTGAAGAACTTGTCTGTAATTGCGATTTTTTTTCTCCGCATGTACGTCGGCTAAAGTTAATGGTATTGTGCATAATGAACACAAAAAGTTCTTTCACACCGATTCGAATATAGTCTTGGTGCGCTGAGTGTGAAACGCTAAGCGGAAAAAAACACATAGGCTCTAATCGAACTTTACAGATGCTATCAGTGTAGCTTTTTTATTCGCTGTTTATTTTAAGTGCAAGAAGTAATAAAAAAGAGCAAACATATCTTTGACGTATATATATTAGTTCCATGATGCTAACTATATCCGTACATTTTGGGAGATTTGTCGAATTCTCAATGAAGGTCGCGCATGTTTAATTTTTGTCATATCTACTAGGAAGCCATTTACAGCGAAACGATAACAATCAACAGTATAAATGCAATATTTTTCTCGATACAATTTCTATTGTTTTTTACAATGAAATCGAGAACAAGTTACTTGGAAGTAGAGATGAAATAGAAATCAAGGATTTGTCATGAGAAACTTTCTCGAAAGTAAATTACGAAACAAATAATTGATTTTGGAAAAAAGACTATTTACGTGAATTACGTAAAATATTATATATATTGCAATTCGCTATAAGTTATAGGAAGTATCAGAAATACACTGTGAAGCAATATTTCTTTACAGTCAGTTATGATAGCTCTATTACGGAACAATATCTATAGACTAAATGAAAAATTTATATGGTTTTGTAGTAAACATTACGAGCATTAAACATGTAGCAAAAATATTGTATACATTTTTCACGAAATTATGAATGCAATACCATTCAATATTTTTATTCTCCGAACAGCATATGACATAGAAAAGAAAATTAGAAAAATTAGGCGAGTACTTATTAATTAATGTATTATTCTGATACGATATTATTAATGATATTATTAAAATACAAGATACGTAATCAAAGTCTCTCTTAAAATTTTGTAATAAATTACATAAAAATAATTCCAACGTGAAATTTTCAAAGATATTCAGACGACTTTTAGAAATATTATATGCTTAAATTTTCTTTTCTTAATGAACATGATTTTAAAAATAATTGAATTAACATTTTATTTTATTAATTATAAAATATTAATTAATTTATGGTCATTAGCTTGAAATAGAGAGAACAGGATAATGTTGAAAGAAATGAAAAATCTCGTAAACACGTTATGCAAATATATTAACAGTTAATATTTTTCCCGTTTTATTATTAATAATTTACTTAATTATTTATTTACAATTTCTGTAAATTTCCAAGATACTTCTCAATTGCAAAGATGCTTTGATAATTGCATAAAAAAAGCGAATATTATTTTTAAGACCATATAACATGTTTATTAAATTTTGCATTTTTCTTTCGACATTTTCCCTTGTTTACCTATACTGCCTATACAGTTAGTGACTAATATTGCAAATTTCAACTGATATTTCCAAGACATTTTGTACGATTGCTTCACTCAAATGGATTGGGCCGAGAAGAAGTCATTTTATGCATATACACGTCGCGATAGCTATCTTGTTTATTTTTGCATCGATGTCGTAATTCAAGACGGTGCAGCGCGGGCGCTCGGATTTACGTATGCATTGAGGACTCTTGAAGTGTGCAAGATTTACATGTGCTCAATTGTCTTTAGTCGCGAGACTGTGTGATAGTTTCCAAACATAAAAGATGAAAGTGTCGCCACATCACCGCAACGTTTTCCTCTCGAGCGACAGGAAAAAAAACAATAGTTAATTTAACTGGTCACGTTAATTGGTGTTAAATGAGTAAAACAAAGCAACTTAATAAATTTTTTTAATGTATATATCACGAACTGTATGTTTTACTCTTTTCTTTTTGTTAGTGACGCATAAAGTTGACATAAAAAAACCTGATTAATATCGAAACAAGGTCGTAAATCGAAAGGCAATCGGCAAGTCCGAGGACAACTCTTTTCTTACGGTGCAATCGGAAAAGTGCCAATCTCTTCGCGATCCGCTGCATCTTGCTGCTTGAAATAAGTGCTCGACTGCTTACTATCCGTTCTAGATATCAGAGGTGAATGATCACCAGGTTGTAAGAAGACTAAAGCAGTTTCTCTACGCGCATTGAAGTGTTTGCCGTATCGCGTGTAACAAAATTTTCAACCCTATTGAGAAATCGTGTCAATAAATCTGGATTAACCTGATACCCTTGAGAAATCTTTACCGAACCAGTGCGTATAATTTCTTTTAAAGACATTGAAATTTTTTTACAATCTGTTTTAACGTACAAGGCTTTTTACGAAAATTATATTTTTAAAAGTTTAAAAGTATCTTATAAAAATTTCACAGCGCATTTATTTTCATGGCATTTTTGTTAATAAAACTAACAGTTAATATGATACTTTTTAATATTAAATTTGTTTTTCTTTTTATAATTTTAAAGAGAAGCAGATTTGACAAAAATATGAATACTTCTTTATATTTAAAAAGAATATAATTATTTACTTTATCAGGTTCTCCATTTTACTCCTGTGCGTTTTATTAATATCTCAAATTTTAATAAAAAATTTTCATTTAAATAAATCTTTCTTCAGTTTTTGTTGTTTTGTTTTATCGAGAAGAAAAGAAAAACAGATTGCTAAAAATTTAAAGGATTTATTTGAAAAAATTTGCTATGCTGATTAATCATGAGTGTCAACATCTATACTTATCAACTGTATTTATGTGCATGCCTCTTAATTGAATTGTCAATTTGTCAAGTATCTAATAAATGTCAATTTTTTAGATTTATGTGATAACTAACGCTATTATATCAATGTATATTGCATCGTTTACGTGATATATTGATATTTCTGTTGACGCGGATGTTGTAAATATTTCTGAACGATCTCGAGTAATCCTGAAGATGAATATTTGTTTAGAATTTCATATATGGAAATATATTTATAGAGCGTTATTATACACACATATAATATTATCATTTTTACATATGTATATGTATAAGATAATGCAGAAACTCGGGAATAATAAATAAATAAGCATTATATACACTATGCAATATATTATAATAAACATTTCTTTTCTTTAAACCGTCGCATAACATTTATTTCTTTATTTAAATGTATTAGTCATACCAAAATAAAATTTTAATAATTATCATGCTTATTTATTTTTTAGATTCACGAAAAATATTTCAAGTGTAGCAGACAACTTTTAGTCTTTCAAATGACCTTGTAATTTATCCTTCCTAGAGGAAAGAAAAAGTGATACTCGGTTAACAAGTTTTGTCTATACGTTAATTAAAATTCTCTATAAAAACGATTAAAAAATCTTAATAAATATAAACTAGTTATGAACTCTTTTTGTTCAAAACAAATTAACAATCATAAATTAAAAGGCTATAAAAAAACGATTAATTAATATTAACTCAAGAAATCATTGAAGTTCTGCAATTCATTAGCATTCGAGAAATAATAAGAATTGTTTGAACTTTTTTTATTGCATTATAGTTTTGGAACAATTAAATATTATTCTGGTAATCTAATTATTTTGATTAATAATTATGTGTACGTATTCGCTGTTTTTATGTTATCCATATTGCTTACTAATAATAAATTTATAAGCACAGACTTATATTTTTTCATATCGTTATATATGTTTTCTATTATTTATAATTGTGGAAGATATTTTTCATTTCTATGAGGAAAAAACTAAGCTATGAATACCAACATAAAATAAATATATGATATACTTTATTTATACAAAAAAACTGTGCTTGTTATTGTGCTTATTTAATATAAAATTATTTAAAATAATATATAATAAAATAGTACGTTTATATATAAATATATCGAAATTTTATCACTATCAGCAACATAACTTTGGAAGATCTCTGATAGATTTTGAACGTTTGACCTTACTGGCATGAGTAGGAAGAAAATCCTTGAAATTGAGTGTAAACAATAACCTTCTCTTTCAAAGATGTCGTAATTTAATTAAGGTTTAAAATAGTAGTTTTCATTGATAATATCTATTTTTAGACATCTATTTTAGACATCTAATAATTTAGATATTAATATTTTTTATTTTTTTTTATCAAGCAAGATGTAAACTATTAAAAATGAGAGCATTATATTATACTAGTAGAAAATATGATTTAGTATCCGTGAAATTCAACATTTTAAGATAATTATTAACATACTGTACTTCCTACTTTTTAACGTTTTCCTGTTTAGAATAAATAATATTTTTTTGGGACTTACCTTCATCAATGCAAATCGTTGATCGTCTGCCAATTTTAAAGACATTTTTGTTGTTTGTCAGTCTAAATGTCTCTTAAGTTATCGACAGATCGTTTCTTTGTATTCGCAGTCGACCTATATATCTGCAGCTGGAATTAAAAAATAGATATCTATATATAATGCATATTAACTGTTACAGTAAATTTTTTTTAGGAATGAAGTATCTTCATGTACATATCTATTTTCATATCTTTTGCGATTACATAAGTATGTGATAATATATATGACATTGTTGTTGGAGAGAGAGAGAATAATTATTATTACATGAAAACGCTTATATATATCGATATTAAATCACAAAAATATTTTATAATAATAGGAAAAAAAGGGCTACAAGTCACAAATTCGTTATTAACTAATATACGTAGTCCCCCCAAGATTGTGCGCCGAACAATCGTCGGTCTTGAAACGCAACTCTAATAATCTAAAAATATTGTAAATAATTAAATCTTCTAATTATTTCTTACGTAGTCCCCTCAAGGAATTTTATATTTGATGACGTCGTTTGTATTGATCAAAGTTTAAGGAAAATATGCAATTCATGAATATTTCTAATCGATAAACAGAATTAATTCAAACAGTATAGAGCCAATGTTCTAAACAATAAAACATGAAGATCTGTATTACTATTTCTTTAATTATGATAAATGAAAATTATATATTGGCAATCCACTAATTGCCCCAAATTAAATGACTAATTATAAAATTTGCGTTTATTATCAGATGCGGTTAAATTATTAGTTGTAATTTTAATTTAATATTATCATATGTTTGAATTATACACAAAGAGATAAATAAATATGAAGAATATAACAATTCTTTTATCGATAGTGTACGTTATATTTGCGTCGATTAAGATTAAAGTTCAAGAGAAACAATATCGTATCATAGAAATGAGATGATCTGGTTGTTTCTTTAAAGAGATATACCATATATTATATATATTTTTATATTGTATATTTTATATACATATACAGAGTGTTCAGTGAAAGTGGCAATCTCGATAGTGTGTTGAATTTAAAAATAAAGGTTGAAAGGTGATTATCCATCTGTTTCATGTGGACTACACACGCAATAAAAAAAATTAAAAAAAAAATTTTTTATTAAAAAAGTCAAGATCATCTTGAATTTTTTAAATAGCACCATACAATTTTTTTTCTATAATGTAGAAATCTTCAAGACGAATTCAACACACTATCGAGATTGCCACTTTCATTGATGTTTTATTGATTTTATTGATATATACATATAGATCCATAAGTGACAATCTCGATAGTGCGTTGAATTCGTCTTGAAGATCCCTATAATATTATAGAAAAAAATTGTGATGCTATTTCAAAAATTCAAGATGACTTTGACTTTTTTAATAAAAAAATTTTTTTTAATTTTTTTATCGCATGTTACATGCGCTAAAAATTAGCCCGCATGAAACAGATGGATAATCACCTTTCAACCTTTATTTTTAATTGTCAGAAGTGTCTAAAAAATCGTGAGGACCGTTACGTTAAATACCCTGTATACGTTATATTTTGAGATATGATATATATATATATATCACATGTTAAAGTGTAACAAAAAATATAAAGAGGATATGTTAGAAATAAATTTTAGCTGTTTTTGACTAAATAGTAAGAAATTTCGAGAGGTATATATAGAGGTAAGTTATATATCTCATTAAAATTTATTTAAGCGAATTGAATGATATGTCGCTTATCATGGGTAAATATCGGAAACATTGTTTGAAAGTGTTATCTTTGAGTTATACATATATTTAAATAATACAATCCTTAATTCTCGAGATATCTCGATGTCTTACTTTACTTCTCTTTCCCTCTTTTTCTTTATTAATAAATACAATAGCATTTATTGTCTTCAATTACGACTTTGTCTCACGTTCTTATTGTTTGTCTAAGAAATAATATATTATATTACTCAATTTTGCATAAGTATTTATAAATTTTTTAATTTGCTATGTAAGTTTTACATTTCAGTATTTCTTCATATATTAGCCAAAAGTTTTTATTTTCTTTTCATGGATTGTTCTCTTATTACGTCTAAATATTTGTATAAAATTTGATCACATTTTCTTATTGATTTAGTAGTTACATGATTTTTGTTCGTTTTTATTTTTATGTAAAATCGTATTATGCAAAATCGTAAAATTTTATATTTATTTGTAAATTTAATGAGAAAGTAGAATTAAGAGATTAAATAAAATTTTGTACATATATCAAAAACTAATATCTTTAATTGGGTCTTACACTATCAATAATATCGTCAAGTTTCAATAAATATTGTGCAAATATAATATATAAATGTAATATGTAAATGTAATATTGATAAATGTAGACTATCTCTAGATTCAGATTTTTTCATTCTCGAATAGCAATATCTCCTATCACAGAGCGATAATGATAGTAGAGATTTAATAAGGATAAATTACGCGTTTCTATAATGTTCTCAATGTCGGTTCAGAAAAAATGAGGTTGAATCATATCACTCTTTCTCTTTCTAAAATACCAAGAGAAGAGATCGAAAAGAGATGCTGATTCAATTCTTTTTAACGAAGCACAGATTAGGGAATACGTGGTCTATTTTTATTGCGCCTATGACTAAATTGTTTTGTTCTTTGTAATTGGTTTGAAGGCATATTCACGACTATACGTGTATATACTTTGATTATTAATATATTTTTGATAACAAATATTAATATAATATATTTGATAATAAATATAATATACTTTTGATAATAAACCTTTGATAACAAAAAATATTTAAAAAATTTGTGGTTTTTATAATTTTGATAATTTTCAGTTGATATTTTTTAGGCTGCGTTCGTTTTTCACGCTTATGCGCTGTATGAAGCTCCATTCTATCTTTTTTTCTACAAGTAATAATGATGAGATGAAGTTTACAGTGTGAAAAATGAACACAGTCATAGTATAGTTCAAATATTCTTAATTGTGACGAATGACAATTATTGACAATTCGTTAATCACCCCAAAACGAGTGGCTAATTATAAAATTAATAAAATTAATATTAGCTTTATTGGATCACGCAATCGTAGTTAAATTACTACTTGTATAGTTTTTGTTGATGATTATTATAATTGAATACACGGAGGAATAAAATATGAGCAATAGTTTGTGTATGCTCTACACAATAAACGCTTATATTCCGTAGAATGTAAACCAATTGTCATTGACACTTGTCATTATCATCACAACTTCGTCATGCTATAAATAAAATGTCTAATAAGAAAATTTTACACAGAATAAGTCGGCATAATTTTAGAAAAAAACATTCCATTTTTTACACAATATATAAATATTTTCCTATATATGTATCGTTCAAGTTATCGTCACAAACGCGTTTTTTTTAACGTTTACTAGCTGGAAATATGCGATACCAAAAAGGGATTTGCTAAATTCAAAAAGTTATCAGAAATTACGAACACTCCTCGAAGATATCGAAGATCACTTGATGAACACGAACCCGGAGACCACTTCGAACCCGCGATTGCGACTGTTCGGCATCGACTGTGCTGGCTGTGTTCAGGTTGACGCGGCAACAGGTGTCTGTTGCAGCGACCGCGATTGCTACGCGTCTGTGCATGCGTGCATGCGTTCGCACGCGCCTTCACTCGACGCGATCACACTTACGAAGGTGAGACGTCACGAGGCGAACAGTACCGAAGGAATGGTATACCGGCTTGTTCTCGACCATGGCGAATTTCCAACCGCCCCACTATCGGATCGCTTACGCCAGCCACCTTCGCCGTCGCCGCGACGTTGTTCGGTGGAGCTGGTCTACGTAAAGTGAACGCGCGATCCTGTCTCCGTTCAGAAACTCGATCGACAAGCTCTTACACTCGAGCTCCAGTTCTCCGACCTGGTCCTCACGCAGAGAGAACACTGAATCACTGGAACACCTAAAAATTTAGAGAGATATATAAATCTGAAAATAATTTTGTTAATCTATCAAAATATTTTTGAAGGAAACTCAAGCATGTGGTGGTGAGCAATATTGCAAAAAAAAGTTTGATATTTTAGTGATTTACTGGAGCGTCCTGCGTAATTATAGTATATCTCGATAGTCCAATAAAATTTATTTTCAAATTTATATATCTAGTTAAATTTTTAGATTTTTAGACAGTAAAACTTGTTGTGCATGCAGTTGTGTTTCGACATCGCGACCGGACGCAGGCATGTATTCGACATTAAGCGTCCGTCACTACCACCATCACCATCACAGAATGAGGTCCATGCAGTTGGTGCGGCGCGATTGCATCGTGCTCTGGCGATGATGCAGTGCCGAACGTTTGCGCATTGTCATATAAAGCGGCGTCTACAATAAGATTTTCAGGCGTAAAACTTGAGCTTTAAGCCTTAAGTTGTAAGAAAGTGACCGATCACAATCGAATGTGTAGAGAATAATCGACTATGATCGGTCAGTTTTTTACGCTTCAAACTTAAAGCTTAAGTTTTGCGTCTTTAAAATCTCATAGCAGACAATGCTTAACGCGTTCCTAACATTCTCTGCTAAACGGAATGTATTACACATAGAAGCAGAAGAAGTCTAAAGTGGATTTGAGTTGGACTGAATGTCAACTTTTAGTCGACTAAAAGACGACAGATACCCTGATTATAGTTAGGTGTCAGTTAATTAGCCAGTGTAGTCGACTTTAAGCCGACAATCATCTATAACTTTATTTTAATAGTCTCTGCTATAAATGTCAACTTTGAAAGTCGATAAAAAAAAACTTAAGTTGATAAAAAAATGTCGACCATCAGTCGACCAATAGTCAAGCGTGCTGTGTGGATATTTATAAACATAGCACACTCATGTTTTGCTTTTTTCTACTAATATTCTTGCGGCATGATGCGAAATCTGCGTTTTTATCTGACTCGGCTACTAACTTAAGAATTTACGAGCGTCTTCGCGATGTACCTACACGCATGGAATGACATGTATCAGAGGTTCATCTTGAGAATTTATAGGCTGCATTCGGCGCTCTAAATGCCATCGTTCAATTTAGCGATTCGTTTATCTTATCTAATCATATCCAATCTCGAGTCACAAGTTTGTAAGTATATTATGTGATTATTTTGAACAACGACGTTCGGACTTTAAAATCTCACTGTCCGCGCACATCGGATTTTAATCCGAGAAATCGCTGTAAAAAAAAATTGTACTGATTGTCATGCGTACTTCAGGAGAAATCGTAATATAACTTGGCTTCAAGGTCAGTTTAAATGCCTGACAAGTTGAGCACCAATGTAATCGTTCTCCATCTCTCGCAGTAATCATATATGATTCTCCGTAACGGAAGATTCAACCTGATCCGCACATAAGTGGAAATTTTCTAGTCGACACACGACACTGTAAATAGTAGGTAACTAATTCTTCATGTGCGCCTCTCTGTCACGCTTTTACTGTGACATGAATTGCGTCGCAAGTGCAAGCGAAACGAGACATCGCTGCGCTTCGTTAATTCAGCAGTCGAAATTTTGTCTGACGTGGAATGTTTACTGGATCATCGTGACAAATAAAGAAGAATGAGATTAAAGACGTATGTGTCACATTTAAAAACACTTGAGCACCATTCTTTTATTAGTTTAAAAATTATCTTTTGTCTTGATTTTTTTGATGCAAAATAGATTTTCTGTAAATTATTATTTGCAAATTGAATAAGGAAGTAACGTTATTATAAGAATTAATTGAAGATTTTGGCGCGGTTTTACCAGAATTTTATGTATGTGTGTGTGTATAAAATCACACACATCGAAATAAACACATACTAAAGTCTGCGTTTTAAACGAAAATAATAAATTTTTCTCGCATAAAATTCATTCTCATCGGTTCTGTCCTAAATTATAATTAAAAGCTATAAGTCAAATTCAGTTTTAATCGTGATTGCATTGATTAACCGATGCTTTTAAATTAGCGATTGCAATTGATCGTATGCTGGCGGAAGCAGCCATCACATTGCTATTTAATCTTTCAATAGATTATTGAAGGTTTCTTTTTTAACTTTCTTTTTTGATAACATTAAGTATACACACAAAGTACTGTCCTTGTATACAACGTAAGCTAAAAATAAAAATGCTCAGCATGTTGCAAAAAAGGAAGTGAAACCTGTTATATTTTTCTGATTATATTTTTAATCTTATTTAAATTTTATTATAATATTCATATATGTATATATATTGAGTCAAGTGAAAAAACATGAATTTAGTAAAGTATTAAAATTTATGTGTAAAATTGAAATAAAAATGTGCTGCACAATACGATGTAAAAAAAAAATAAATACATAGGTAAATGTTTTTTTTAAAGCAAGATATGATAATTTATATATAGATAATGTCAATAATTTAATGCATGAATTTAGATATCCAAGCATGTATTCAAGCACATACGTGCTTTAATAAGTGCCAAAATTTCCGTATATAATAAATATTAATGACTTGCAGGTACAAATTAACAATGGAAAAAGAACGATAAAAGTTAGTTAGCATGAATAATGCGCAGTTTTTATAGATAAGATGAAGTTTTTTAATGATTTAATAAGTTACATGATAAATCATAAAAATTTACAAACCGGAAGTTTTGACATAAATTTTTCTTATAAGGAAAAAATAAATTAAAATCGGAATAACCGCATTATTCTAGTTTCTTTTCATAGAAGATGATGATGAGCCACGTCCGGTTTATAATATTTTAATTATCTACATATATCTGTATATCGATTGACTTATTGAATTATTATATATATATGCAGAGATTTTTATCTATAAAGATCGTTTACTGCGCTGACCATCGGACTTTTTAAATTTAAATTAAGTATATATGTATATATATCGAGGGCCATTATTGTTGTTATTATTATTATTATTTGCATTATGTTTGCATATACGCTACGCAAGTTACGAAACTTAGAGAATGCTGCCTGAGAATTATTATAATTGTTAATTGATTGTCTTTTTTTCTCGAGTTTTCGGCTGCAGGAAACTTCGCTTTTTTGAACGAGAAGATCTCCGACCGGTGGACAAAAAAAATGTTCAGCTAATTGTTCTAAATTCTAATGATCTTTTTTCGCAATGTGTGTATCAATTTTTTTGATCACCTCTTCTTGTAGAGAAAGCATTATAAAAACGAATTTTGTTAATAGTAATCAATCTCCGGCAGAATAGTGTGAGATCTTCGAAGAATATCTACCGAAATATTATTTGAAATATGGTAACCATGTTATTAATATATTATATTCGATTTTAAAAAAATAATATTTACATTAATTTTTTTTTTGAAATTCTATTAAAAATTATTTGCATTACGTGGATCTGATATTATGCTGTAGATTTGTAGAATTAATTTTTACTACGAATAAGAAATGGAAATAGATAAGTTACAGCGAGAATATATGCGATAATGAGCGTGTCTAATTGATCCCATTAATCAGATTTTATCGCTCGTGTATGTATTATATTTCTTTTGTGTCATTTCCATTCAGACTGTATAAATTTGTTATTCTTCAACGAGGATTCATTATATCACAACAGCATCATGCATGGTTCTGGTGGCGTTATCTGTCGACAAATGCGAGTACTGCTTTCGCATTGAACATCGAACCTGATCATCATTTGATTTGACTTCCATACTTTATGAATTCTATCATTCGAAATTTTTGGACAAATATATCAGACGCGCCAAAATTTATAGCAACGATTCAAAATGACATAATACGAAACCGCAAAATTTCAGTCGGTTGATATTTATTTTTAACAATAGGATTTCATGTCATATAAAATAATTATAATACAAATAACAACATATGTATGATTTATGACTCATAAACAGAATTTTTGCGACTAAAGATATAGCAAAACAATTTTCTAAAAATTAAGTAAAAAGAAGTTATTTATAAATTTTTATTTTAAGTAATAGTTTCTCTCTCTCTCTCTCTCTCTATAATATAAAGATTTTATATAAATTAGTATTTAGATAGTCATCTATACATATCAGTAAACGCTGTAAAGTGCGCGCGTATCAGTGCTCATTAATATTATCGCGATTCACGGAAATGTATCTAAATATAATTTGTAATTGGTTATATTTAAATTTTAATTATTTCAAAAATTTACTACTTAAAATTTACAAATAATTTTTTTATTACATTTTTTGAAAACTATCTAGTTATAGAATTTTATGTTGCAAATTTTGAGGCACTCCGTATAATTACGTATACATCTATATGCGTTTTTTTGAACATATATTAATATATTCTTATAATCACCCTTAAATCCATGTGTGACTTTCACAGAAATCTAGTATTGGCTAACATTGAGAGAGAGAGAGAGAGAGAGAGAGAGAGAGAGAGAGAGAGAGCGAGAGAGAGAGAGAGAGAGAGAGATTAGAGAAAAGCGAACTTTGCGTTATTGACACGAGATGTAAAATATCGTATAATAGAAATATATTAAATTTAGACGGAGTTGAATTTTTTTATGATTGAATGCTGTATAAATTATTTTACGATGATTAAACAAGAACTTTATTACTTATCTTTAAGTATAAAAAAGTATGCAGAACATCATCAACGTTTATTTATAAATTGTAAATTATCAAAGAGGTCAATGCAAAATGGAACTTAAAATACATCTTACTCGTATAATTAAGTTAAACAATTATACGAATAATATATAAAATTGTAAAATTGTAATATCGTCGATTAAGTTAACTGGAAATCGGAGCTGCTCCAATATTACATTGGCTGTTTTCAGTGAAGAAAGCAAGCTTTGTAACTGTTGTAAAATTTTGTAATACGATTGCTCTTGTCCTCAATTCCTAACTGGATCTAAATGTATAAACTAAATGATATTAAAGAATTTACCACAGTAAAATTGCACAATTTCTTTTTCTAAACGCACTTCGAGTTGCAAACGTAAGGCCATATACAACGATACGATGAGTACAACGCGCAGTTGTGTGCGTATACATCGCGAGTTCGATTGGAGGGTGATCGCGGGGGTTACGACTTATGACAAGGAAGGTCGCGACGCGAGTATGCGACGCGAATAAGTTCGACGTGACGCAACTCGACGTGGTGGCAGTGCGACAGTGATTCCCGCGGTTCCCATAGTTCTCGCGAGCCTCAAGTCGTTTTCGCGAGGCGGATTGAGGTGCCTCGCGTAGGACACCGCGTATAACGAAGCATGCAAATCGGGCGATCGTGTCCTATCGGCACCGTCGAACTCCGTCGTCACATCCGGCGTATCCCCCGCGAAAAAAGAGCGAGCGAATCGCACGGTGACAGGGTCGATACGTTGACTTCAAGGGCGCGCGGCTCACCCACGCAGGTTCGTGGGCCAGCAGTCTTCACGTAAGTCAGGTTTGCTCTAAAATGATACGTATATGTGCTTTGTCTTATTTGCGACGATATCATGGATAAGACAATTAACGAGGTAGCTCGCGAAACGAATGGAGCTTCGCCGACCGCCTCACTGTATAGGTTATGTTTCTTTGGTAACTGACAACGCGCTGTTAAATATGTATGTGACGAGGGAAGGATCCATATGTATGTGTTGAAATAGATTCTGAATTTTTATCACTGGGTTAGTACTGTTATGATAGTTGAAATATTTTAGATATTTTTGTAATTAATTTTGAACGTGTGTTTTAAATGATATTTGGAGGAATTAGGAAAAGGATTGTCGCTGGGTGCATGGGTGACTTTCGGCTGTCACGAAACTGATGTGACGTGGGTAAATGTAGTAGAGTTTACGCGATTTCAGCATGAATGTGACAAATATTGATGTCCCATTTACGTGCAAACTTACACATGCATTTCGAGAAAGAAAGGGACAAAGAGACAGTATATATATGTATGCTATATCAGTTTTTGCTTAATTAACATTTTCATCGATATATTCGAAATAAAACTGCTGTTTAGCGAAAATTTCATGTGAATGAATTTATTCTTTCAGTTTTAGGTTACTTTAAAATTTGGACTTTCGCTATTGGCGAAAAAACAAATTTTAGTAATTGACGTCTTTTATTTTATATTTTATTGTTCAAGTTTATTTTATAATGGAAACTTATTATTTGGTATATAATTTATTAGAATTAAAAAGTTTTTGCCAGTTTTTTTTTTAAATTTATTGAAGCGAAATTGATTTCTGAATTATTAAATAATAGAGAAACGAAATATAAAGACGATTGTATAAATTTTAAATATATTAATTTTTTTGCTACATTTAGTATTAAACAATTCATTTTTTTAAAAAGTTATGAGATATTTATTCTTATTTGTATACAAATTTTGACTACTATTTTTTTTTATTATTATAACATTAAAACATTATAAATTTTTTTCTTCAAATTTCAGAAAATATTGTTTAGTATTTATTTTTTTTTTAATATTTATTAATGTGCTTAGCATGATTAAAATTCCTTGGTGGTTGCATCTTTAATATATTTATATAATTTCATATAGAAGGTATACATTTAATAATTTGATTATCTTTTTGACTATATTTTTTAATAATTTGAATGGGAGAAAAGAGCAGGAGGGGAGGAGTTATTTCTTCTTTTCAACACGCGTATATAATTGTGAATCAAATAAATCGGAACGAATACACGTGCGAGAACGTGTTCCTATTTTTGTTGTAACGCGCAATATAGAAAAAAAATCACACTACCATCACAGAAATTTATAAACTTGACATTGAGATTAAATAGTGTCTGTATACATATCAGAAAGTAACATAAACACACTCAACAGATTAAGTAACGATGTGATTTAATTACACGAGAATTACTTCCACTTACAATTAATCACCTCGATGACATAATATTGATAAAACACATAGCGTTGCTTCTACAAAAATAGTAGACTGTCGGTGATTTTTTCTTGCCATTTCTATCATTCTTTTTTAAATATTTTAATTTAAGATAAGAAGTTTTTAATCAGTATTAATTAATTAGAGCAAAAACGAGGAACGTTTACAAAATTGTTTTCCTTTATTTGAGATATTTTTATTCTGAAAGAGATTACATTAATTGGAGCAGAAACGTTTAGAGGAACGTTTACAAAATTGTTTTCCTTTTTTTTTGAGATATTTTTATTCTGAAAGAGATTACATTATTAAAGAGTCATTATTACGAAAACTTTTGAATAAAACGATATTTAAGCGTCGAAGCAGTTAATAGCGATTGCTGTCGATGTTAATGGTGCGTTAACTTGGCTCGTAAAAGCTAATTGAGTGGAACAAAGGGTATCGGTAAAGGCAACGACAAAAAAGGGTCAAATTAAACACTCTCTCTGTAAAATTTAAATCGATAAATACAATGGCTATCATATAGCAATTGTCGTTAGTCAACTGCAATATCAATGCATTCGTAGATTTCCGCATAGATTAAAATATAATATTTTAAGTTGAAGCCGATGTAACTTCAGTTGATGCATGAAACTCGTTTCTATTTTTATTCATGACTAACGATAGATTATGGTTTATTGATACATATTGAATCAATCATTGGAAATGATTAAATCTCTATAAATTCAGATTTTGATGCCGCAAACACGCGCATGTTAATTCTCCACGTCAATTAATAGTATATATATATATATTTTTTAGTTGCTAACATTTATTACAATAAATAATTTATTTAAAAATATCCGATTTTAAATTTCAATCTCAGCTGTGATGTGATAATCTTTATTTGCACACGCAACTTAGATAAAAAATTTTGTTCCTGACGCTGTCAACTATTCTTTCAGTGACTAATCGTTTTTTTCTACATATAATTATCAGTGTTTTGATGTAAAGCTTGAACTTTGATATTTAAATAATAATTGCGTGCGCAGAAATAACAATACTATTCCAGAGATACTGTGATATTTTTTTTATAAAAACTTCTTTAACACTAAAACCGCGACCGTGTCATTTTTGACTCATCTGATCATTTTTCTTTCCTAGTTAATTTGCACGTAGAGCTTTAGATTTTTGTAAATAATCATAATTAATTACAAGTAATTTTATCTTTTACCATGACAATCCTCCTTCAAAAGCCAGATTTATCTTAAACCGTGATTAGGTGAATTTAAATGCGCGGTCCTAATGTTAAATTTAATAATATCAATTTATCTTTTAAAGAAAGTGACCTTCTTAATTCTACATCAAACTGAAGTTTTATATAATGAGACCGTTGATATTAATCAAGAAAATTTCGAAATGCTATTGTTTTAGTATCTTAGTATCTTAGTCTAGTTTTAGTATCTTAATAAAAAAATCTTAACTAAGATTTTTGATTCTCATATACAGTTGACTCAAAACAATTTTTTTTACTTGTCCCAAAACATCACATACAATTTCTATAAATATAGTAATAATAATAAAATAATGAAGATACAAGAAATTATCAAAAATCGACAGCTTATTCAATTATGTATGGAAAAAACAATTTTGCTAAAGTATCTTATGTCTAATAAATATTCTAAGCAGAATCGTAAGGCTCGTGACATATTCTCGTGAAACTTATAAGAACTTTAAGTGCTTATACCCTTATACAATATCTTATAAGTAGCTTCTTACTAGCTATAGGATTTGCAAGAAATTGTAGATATTTACTAATCGTATATCTTACGAGATACATATACATAAAATTAGAATACGAGTCATAAGGTTTTACAAGTTTTACGATTCTGCTTAGAATTAACCCATTAGCTAGATAGATACAGATCTGAAAATAATTTTGTCGGAATCATTAAAATAATTATGTAGAACATTGAAACTATAGTTGCTTATCAAAACTTTTTGCAAAATTGCTCATGCTTGAGTTTCCTATATAATTATTTTAATAGGCCAACAAAATTATTTTCAGATCTATATCTGTCTAAATTTTTAAATACTTTATCAAAATCTTTACATATACAGAAACTTAGTTTTAATACTGGAATACTAAAAATAATGATTAATTATTTAGTTTGTATACTATAAAAGCACTGAACAGTACTTTAAATAACATTCACATTGAGAAAAACGTCTGGTTGAATTAATTGGATTTCTGGTTGAAAATAGACGAATTTCTAGTTAAATCTATCTACCACTACTCTAATTAAGATAACCGAAAATCTTATTGGTATAATCAGAATCTTCGTTTATTTTCAACATTTTTCTCAATGCGAAATAAATACAATTAATCATTACCTTTCTAATAATAAGTTTCTAGAAAGGACACGTGTTAATTTCAAAATTTGTCAATAATATTAACATCATCTATTAGAACGCCTCGTGTCTGATTACACGCTTATCGTAAAATAATTAGTAGCTCGCGACACTAATCGGTCCTTGTCAGTCTGCGTGCTGATCTATCGTCGTGCACTCTCACGACGACGCGTGATAGCGATACGTGGGAGAAACAAAGATAGATAGCTAGAAAGAGAGAGAGAGATTCCAGTTTTCTTGTAACCGGTGTACCGTTGCTTTCCACGCTCAGCTGACACGGCCGTGGCTTTTCGACCGATACTCCGAACGAACAGCCTTTCGAGAGCAGCGTGCCAGTCGACATTCGTGAGCGTAGCGCGTACACTGCGGAGTTTGTCGCGCTGCTTTCCACTCTTTCCGTTCTAGCGGTTCTTTTCCTGCATTCCGCGAGTGTTAACGGGAATATGTCGCTCTTCCCATTGGATTCGTGAGCGGTTTCCCGGCTCTCCCGTCATTATTTGTCGAAATAACGCTACCGTGCATGGTGGAATACAGTATCTCGACATAAATCGGATTTCTGTGCTATAAATATCAAAAGAATAATATCTAATGTTTACTCGTGATAATAAAAACGCAACGAGCGCCGCGTAGAATACGGTTCTTCTGTGTACACTATATACGAAGAAAAGTTGTTAACGTATTTAATTACGTTTAGTTTACAGTGATTTTTTTTAGTTCAAGTATATTTATGTATCTTGGTTAAATATACGTGAGTATATTTAACAACTCCTGTCAACAAAATCTTGTAATTTAAAATATGTTATTTGTTTGAATTGTTAAAATAATAGACATTTACTTGACCGTCATAGTTAGTTAAATCATCTAATACTTTTTGAAATTAGCAACTTTTCTCTCAGTGTATCTATGTATAGCAAAGAATAAAACTCTCATCAAGACCACATCGAAAATCTTGTTAGTTTTGTTCTCAATGTTCGGTATAGAAGGAACTAGTGCTCGCGCAAAGCATTTTACATTCCGAGTGCGTAGTTGCTAATATTGCGACCTAATTTTCGTGGTTGTTTACCTTTATGAACATGGAAACTCGTCGGCGTATTGATATCGGCACTCGTAAGTTCTTTTAAAATAAATTAAGTAATATTTGCGACTTTATAAG